TTGTATTTCTGTGTATGAAATGTACCCATTAATAGCTGTGCCTTATGTGCATATGCTGTTGATGTGTTTCCAAGAACCATTTTATGGCCAGCTTTGACAAAAGGTTGTGATCCAAGGTCATAAGCTTTCACAGAATTCAACCTTTACATCATAAATGTCAGCATAAATCACATGAAGAAGTGCTTTCCGTGAACAAATCTTTGTTGACAGTGTGATGAATCCACTTTCAGTATTCGTTGTGGATACACGGTTTTAAAATGGGGAGCAAGGGTGGGTCATGTTTATTAATGTTCCTATTGGGAAGACCTGAGTGCCCTTAACAAGTAATATATATCACGTGTATATTAGAACTGCCAAGAGCTCTATCTGGATGTGAAAAGCAGGGGTGGTGCAGGTCATGAAATCCATGAAAAGATATGGAATTTTAGTTTGTTTCCCAAGACTGGGATGGCTTTGGAAGGCAGGAATGTGTATTAAATCACATCTTTATATGATACATTATTGTGTTTATGAGTCCAGAAGACACTTCCATTCAATCATCCATTTTGTATGCTATTCTAGGCAAACATCTTAGAAATTTTGTTATTTTGCTTGATTTTGTATCAAGACAATGTCATGGAAAGACATGGAAAATTTATGGAAATGTGTCAAGCTAAAAGTGTATGATCCCTGGAAAAGATGTAAAAAATGTTGTGTTTGATTGCAAACCAGAGGTGTTCACTAATAAAGTCATAGGCAGATATTTATATTATTCAGCATGCTCAAGTATTAGTGAATACTTCAAAAGTAGTCAGGACAGTTCATTTAAAATTGTTAAAGGAAAATTCTATGGGAATATTGTCCTGCCCGAAGATGATGTAAGATCCAGTCTAACTGAAATGACATTGTTTACTCCTTTACACTAGCTCTCTGTGTTTATATAAACGTCACTGTGTAGGATATAGTGTCAAGTGAACATTTTAATGAACTGACCAGCAGCAATGGATTCTATTTTCTTGTTACAAATGAGCATTGAGAGCAAGTCCTCATATTTTTGTATCTATGAAAATGAACATTTATAGACAGTTCTAATTGCAAACTGTTAGAAGGCTGTGCTTCTCTATTGTGGATATTTAATACACCTTGTCATGTTTTTATGTCCTAGCATGTTCACCCCAAATAATGTATGTTAATGATTTATGATATTTGTGTTTCACGTTAGTTTTCTTAGTTTATGATTGAAATCATATTTATGAAATAAATGGCTAAGAAAATGGAGCCTACAAACAGCAATAAACCTCGCGAACTGGTAATGTCCATTGCTACTGTTTTAGTTTCCATTGGAGTGACTTAGTACAGTATGAACTTTTGTGACATATTGTAATTTATACCCCCAATCCAAACATTAAATGTCAGGATAGCCCTCTACACCCATGAGACCTGGTATGTTATAAATAATACTGCATAGATCCTCACTGTAGATTGTTGTAGCCAAGTGAAGTAGAGTGTCTTATTGAATAGTTCTGTAGTGTCAGTTTTCAGATCCAGGGGATATAACAAGTATCCTGTGTATAACACACAGATTTCATAGCTTTGTCACTTGCTGGTTTCCCAACTGCACGTAGCTGGCATTGTGGACCCTTAATTAGATTTCGAGAGCTGATTTGGACATATTTTATATGTTTCAAGCAATCAAATGTTTATATAACAGAATGAGTTAGTTGCCAACTTGTGTTCTTGTATGTTATACATGTTATATGAGGAAACATTTCAATAGAAAAGAAATTAAATTGGTGGAAAGGAAATTGGTCTGTCTTAGGGCTGTTGTTTGTCTCTCTTTGTTTACCATTCACCTTGTAGGATATTAATATTTCTGCATACAAGTTCTGTCTTTATTTTCATCTGCCAAGCTATATCATATATCATATAATCATTTGAATTTGTATCTGCCCTGATGGTTCATGTAAGGTACATAGGTATCAAGGGTATGGATATTTGGTCTGTGGGTTTATTAAAGGCAGACACTTTATCAGTTTCTGACTGGAAATTGCAAATTGTTTTAGTTTAACTTTATTGCCATGACTGTAACAACTTTGGCTTGTTTAGTGGATTAGTGAGTGAGTGAGTGAGTATGGTTTTACGCCGCTTTAAGCAATATTCCAGCAATGTCATGGCGGGGTACACCAGAAATGGGCTTCATCATGTTTAGTGGATTAGTAAACTAGAAGCAAAATGTTAAGAAATCAACTAGATCTGCACAAATAGAAAGAATCATTAGCAATTTGAATTATGATTAATCAAATACATTTAACTTGGTATCTGGTCACTGAAACTCTTCTGATCTAGAGAAGAAAGCCTTTTAGTCAGAAATATAGACATATCCATGTTACTGAAAACATCTTTAAACCGTTCCATGTTAATCAGTATTTGCTTTCATCTTATTTATGTGAGCCAAACCCACTAACTGACCTAAACAACTTCATGACAAATGTTTTCAGACCGTGTGTTTGTGTTTCGCTGATTTTAAGTTGTTTCTGGTCGAGCTCACTTCTTCATTTTCTAATCATTTTTGTTTGTTATTTTACCATTTCCTCATGTTTACTGTTCTACACATGAATAGAGCAGTGGCACGTGTGATAATGTCAGAAAGGAAAATGTTTGATATCTTTCACTACAGTGTTTGAATAATTAAAATAATCACACGAGAGATGACACTGTCTAATTAAATGATAAAATATTCATGATTTGTTGTATGTTGTCGAGTTGTAAATGACTTACTGACTTGGGAAGATTATGTGGATTTATCAGTTGTTTGGAATATACTCGGATGTGAAAGTATCTCATCATGGAATCAGCAGCATCTACACATTCTGAAAAGTTTGATCTGAGGTGTCTGCGATTAATTGGAAATACCCTCTCTGCGCGGTACCGACGAGGACTGCAGGACTCCACTGTATGTTGATTGTATTACACGTATCATGGTGGTATCACACTTGATTCAAGATACAGGCACCTTGCACAGATCCAGGTAGAAATTGGTCAAATATATTTGCTTTGAAACATGTTAATCATATTTCTGCAAGCTTAAATGTCTTTTTGTCCAGGATGACAGAAATTGAAGATATTATATGAGTGCCCGAGTCATACTATGTTTACGACACGAATGCCTAAATGTTGGTACATGTATTTCCCGAGCGAGAGTGAGGGATATACCGATATTTAGGCACGAGTGTCGTAAACATAGTATGATATGACACAAATATGATATTCTGTTTATTACCGAAGTCATCAATTGAGGAAAATAAACCCAAATCTACTTTCAAACAGGCTGGCTACCCGCCATCGCCGCATGTTGAACGCAATGTCACAGTAGAAACGTGACATCATGGCATTGTTCATGACGTCACGTCACCATGACAAAGTATTATTTTGCCCAAGGGCATCATATGAAAAATATGAACCCCAATATTTTCATCCTCGTAGGTAATAATTATATGTATGTTACCTACTGAGTCAGTGTCAAACACTTTAAGTCAACTAGCCTGTACTTTACACTACCATTTGCCTTCTTGCCATTTGCCATAATAGTGTTCAGAACCTCATTTCCCTGTCCTCCTGTATTTTTTTATCCTTCAAATTCTTTCTTTAATAATTACTTTACACAACATTTATGATGGATACTGGGCTATTTGTGTATTTTCTTTATTAAATGAATCTGAACATGCAATAGTAGCATGACACTGTGGCATATTGTTTTTGTCACATCATTGCCAAGCAGCCAACCTGCACATTCAGGTCGTATACACTCAATCCCTCTCAAATGTTGAATAGTACACATAGTATGTATTAAGAATATCTCAAGGCAGATGATACAGATAAAAGTTGTTGTGGTTCTAAGTATATTGGTTTCATTTTTTTATGATACAGTTTTGCATTGTATTGCTATGGCATTAAGGTATTATACTACCTTGTTTCCATGTGATTACCCCAAACTGATTACATGGTGATTATCTTGTGTATCCAAGCCTGTAATTAGGGGAGTGCAGGTAATGCGACCCTTCAGCTGTCTCAGGATTCTATAATGACTTTACCTGCAATTACTGTAGTCACCAATCAAGGATTGTCAATTACCTGTCACACACTGTAGGGTTAGAGTGGTTTTATCTCTCTTAGGCCTAAAAAAAAAAAGCTTGTGGTTCCGATTTCCCGGCCGACCCTAAATATTCCCGCCAATCCTAACAATTTTACTCACCACATAATAAATGAAATTTATTTTCTGACACATGAGTAATCACCAATGTAAAAATATTTTGCAAAAACCTGTTCTGAAATGTAGGAAATTGGAATCCACAACATTTATTTTTTTTGGCCTTACCTTCAACAATAAGCACAAGTACACTGGCAAGAAATGAGAAAGAGATTTCATTACCATATTTCCTATATTTATTGCAATGCATGCTTAGAAATTTGACAGAGAGAAACTTGTTTTCAGAGATCGAGCATGAGGGAACAAACATAGTTTAGAACTTTTTTGATAATGCATGTAGTTTATCAATAATATGCCCCTATTACACTGCTGTGTCTTTCGTTAAAAAAATCTGATATATGCACAATTTGTTTGTTTGTTGATTAATGCCACACTCAGCAATATTGCAGTTATATGATAGCGGTCTGTAAATAATCGAGTCTGGGCCAGACAATCCAGTGATCAACATGTAAGAAGTCTACAGCCCTCAATTACCAATTGGTTACTTACCAAGAATTAATGTCCAATGGTATCTAGACGGGTTGTGATCCCTTTGCTATAGAATGGAGTACATTTTTAAGGATGTGTCTTATGATTGGCAACAGTCAGAATTGCAGAAAACTAATAACTGTGGAATGGACTATTCTCTGTACAGAGGAAACTGTGATTTGAACAAAAGAAATTCTCACCTGATAATATAATCCACCATAGATTTATTTTTTAAGGCATCTATTTTGATAGATGTTAATGTGATTGTGATTGCTTTTCATTTCAGATAGAAGAAAAGATCAACATCGACACGCTTGAAGAGTTGAAGAGGGCGTTTCAGCTTGCTGATGTTAACCGAACAGGATGTCTGGAACTGGACGAGTTCAAGCAACTACTAAAGAGTCAGCTGGCACTCACAGCAAACAGGGTGAGTATACCCTGTTCATATCTCCCTTTGTGTTATTCAAGGATAGATTTCAAACAGCAGCTAAAGATACAGAACAAAAAAGTGGCAGAAAGGTAACCGCCAAAGTGAAGACCATTCCCGGTTTTGTTGTAATTATAGCAAATAAGCATGCTTGTTTAGGTCAGGCTCTTGGCTGACAGTATGTACAGTACCCCTTGGTGCTGTTCAGTGCTCATGCTTCAGTCATTGGTTTGACTCATTCATATCTTTTCAACATCATCACGGTAGATCAGAGCGGTGGGGTAGCCTCTAGTGGTTAAAGCGTTGGCTCGTCACGCCGAAGACCCGGGTTCGATTCCCCACATGGGCACAATATGTGAAGCCCATTTCTGGTGTCCCCCGCCGTGATATTGCTGGAATATTGCTAAAAGCGGTGTAAACCAAACTCAGGCAGTCAGTCAGTCATCACGGTAGATCAGCTTTCAGAGGCTTCACTCTGAAATTATGCATAGGATATATCACTGATGTATTATTTTACTGAGCATTGTTGCTTTTTTCAGTGCCATGATGCTTGTGTGAATATGCTGATTTATTAAAATTGTTAGTATCACTCCAAATATTGAGTTCTGTATCTGTATGGTGACAGACTTTTTGTAAGTGTGGTATCTTTGCCTCCCTGATGTATTGTTTTAATACAGTTATATGTATTAAGGCCCACTACACAGTCTCAATTTTAATTCCTGTTTCCATGATAAGTGAGTGAGTGAGTGAGTTATTATTTAACGTCACATCGGCAATATTTCAGCCATATCGTGACAAGAACATATGTGACATTGAAATGGAATAGATGTATATTATAAAAACTTGTCGACGAAGGACAGTAAAACAACTAGAATATCACAATTACAATTAAAACTAGTGTGGAAAATTAAAACTATTTCCATAAGATGATAAAACGCACAGAGCATTTATTAGTGAATGATGCTCTATATAAATGCAATTATTATTATTATTTCCATAAGATGATCTACAATGATTATTGGTATTGAGTGCACCTTCAATGTTTAACCCTTCTATAATCAACATAGGGAATGTTAGTGATCTAGAATTTTAAAAAGATACTTCAATCAACTAGATTTCCCAAATGTGTAATATCAGTCGGAGAAGGATGGTTTACAGTGCATGTTGAAGTTTATCAAGCCATATTGGTTTTAGTATTGAGTATGCATTGGCATTAATAGGTAATCAGTCACCAATACACCAGGCATGTACCCGGTAATTAATTAACTTTCTAGCCACAATCAATGGCAGTTTGAACTGCACCTGTTAAGTATGGTATTTGAGTTAACGTTTTGCTCAATCGTCAACTTCTTTGACATATATGTGGCTGCTTCAGGTAAACAAAAAATGCATTGTATTTTGAACAGGCATGTCCAGATGACATAGTGCATTTTCATGTTACATCGTATATATACTTGTCACATCTTAATTGGATTTGTTTACATTCTGAGTTACCATCACAGGATCCAACTAATTGTCACTGAAAATGTTTCCCCTATATTAGAATTTGTAAGTTGTCAATTCTTAATGATAAATTTGTTACATTTGAATCGTGGAATGTAGAGGACACCTCTTAGCCTTGGAGTTTGTGGTGTAAGTTTTATTTGGCTGGGACAAATTCATTATAACCTTGTTAATAATGGATGGTTCTGCAAGTTATGTGTGCTTGAGGCAAGTTACTGGATAGTATAGTCTTTGCTCACAGTATCAATCACAGGTTTGTCTGGTCCAACCTTTATTATTTTCAAGCCACTATCAAATAATTTGAATATGGTTGAGTGCAATGATATACAACAAACAAACAAAGGGCAGAGTACATCTACAGTTGCATATTGTCTGTTCAGGAACAACAAATAGATGCACTGTTCATGAAGATCGACTGGTCATCAGAAGGTTCGATCACGTGGGATGAGTTCTGTACGTACATGCAACTGGAGTATCGCGAGAAGGAAGACTCCTACCACCGCACCAAAGAGGTGTCATTTCACCTCCCTGCCAAGATTGAAAACATTCCCCATCGTGACCCCATCTTGAAGATAACAGATACCTCGGATGGAACATTTGTAGCTTGCAGTCAGGTAAGAGATTAATTTCTTTATTTATTATCAGGGATGCATTGCTCAAAGTGATCTTGGTGTTGAGTCTGTTAAAACTCTGAATCTTTGACTCAGACTTACTACAATTGTAGAACTAGGATTGCATTGCTCCACCTGGCCATGAACTGTATATTTTTCCCTAATAAATTAATAATTCATAATTTATTTCAAATATAAATTAAAATGGTTTATACATATACATAAGTTATCAGATAAAGTAAATTGTGAAACCTTTATGATCTCAAGACATGTGAATCTCAAGACGTGACCATTCACACTTCTTTTAACTGCATCAGGTTATGCAATAAAGAGTATTTTCATGGAATTGTAATCATGGTTACAGTGCAAATTGGAATGTCTTTTTCTACATTTTCAGGATGGTATTGTCTCCTTCTGGAACACAAATGCAGATATCCGGAGAACGAGAAGTGTAGTTGTAAGTACATGTAGATTTTGTTTTGCATCTTTCAGCAAGAACTTTTAGAATCATTCACCTGCCTATTAAGCCACATTAAAGTGACTATTGTCTGTTGAAATCATCACTTCTTTTATTGTTGAACAAATCACTATTCTGTTTTGCAAGCCATATACCGGAAGAAGACATGCTATGGTCTCACAGGATTTATCTAGGATTACAATTCAGTGCCTTTGGAATTTGGGAGGGAAAAAGATTGTTTTCCACAATTTAGAATTTCACAAACCTTTTATTTTCTAATGGCAATTTTACATTGCATGCAGGTACTCCTTTTGATTGGTTACTGAAATACAAATCACCTCAACAAAGTCATAACATTAGTAATGACTACATAAACTTAATTTTTTTATGTCCCATATTGGAATTGTTACTGATATTAGGTGCAATTTTTAGGCTGAATATCAGCCTCTGGGTAGGTCCAGATACATACCTGTTCGTTGAAAGCTTAAATTTTTAAACTTATCCTATCTCACTGGTATGCACCTCTCTTCTACTTCTACGACCATGTGTGGAAACGTGCTGTAGGCTAAGTTGAATCAAAAGTTATCTGGCCTCTGACCCCCCGACCTCTGACCCCACTCCGATAGCAGTACCTGTCAATCATCTCAATAAGCGTGCAGATCGCTCAGATGATCACGTGACTGTCTGTGCCTGTCATTCTCTTTCTTGTTGCTACACCGAGTGGACGTGTGTTGTTCTCTCAGTTAGACATTATTTGATTGTCAATATGGGAAATAAATGGAATCAAAGTTCTTCTAAGAAACGCAAACACTGTGATCAGTGCAACAGCAACTTTTCCGCTGCTGATCCACATGCTTTGTGTGTGGATTGTAGATATAGGCTGTTGTAGTTGGTCACATCGGTGTTCTGTTTGTTCACACTTGAATGATGATGATTTTTCTGAATATCGACGGGTTGCATCTAGACATAGATCGGACAGAGATTGGCGTACAACTGCTGAAGGTCCTTCAACTTTTAAGCGTGCTATATCAGAACGCCATTCGAAGAGAGCAGTCCGTTGATCTAAATCACTTTCCCCGGACGTAGATTTTTTAGAGGTGTCCTCAGAGTCAGACTCCTACTTGAGCGAGTATCTCCGTCGTCTCTTTCATCATCAAACGTCTAGTCTCGTCTCCAGACAAGTTCTATCTCCTCCGAGAGTGGTAGTGTTGACAACTTCTGCAGCACAGTCTTGGCCTTCTAACTTGGTGACGATTTCACAGACTCCTAGTTTACCTCAGGTGGTTGTTTCCAATGCGCCGCTTTGGTTGAGTGCTCCACACCCCTCTGTTATTGTGGGTGCGCTTGGTGAAGCGTTCACTCTCATGCGCCGAGTGCAGTCATTTCGGCGCTTTCAACCACAGGGATCAGTTCGTCAGGCATGACGATAGTATCCAGTGCGTCGCTTTGTCAGTGTATGAAATAAGCCAAAAGTCCAGCCAGACATCATGGATTTAACCAGGCCAAATATGGTGAAATTACTCCGATGTATGGAACATCTGAAGTTTTTACCAGACCATCGGGCTGGCTCGCTGTAAATGTAGACCGTCCGTCGGAAATCTAGACCATCGGACGGGCCTTCTTTCATACACTGGCTTTCAACACTTTTCCCGTACCTTGCACCACCTGTCTATGATCCACCGCATATGACCGACTATAAGTCGGATCCGACTATAAGTCGGGCCCCTTTCTCAACCCTCTAAATTCTTGCCAAAACCATGTAACTCAAGTATAAGTCGGCCCCTTTCCCCGTACGAATCGGTATCACGATTCACGCTCGGACACGATGTTTAATGCGAAAATATATGCATGAATCATTTTTGTCACAGGTCATAACCTAGCACGATACGTCAAATAAATCCCATAATTTACGTATAGGTAGCGATTTCTTGCTTAATATGTTCAGAATAGCATTATTTTACCCAAAACTTTCGTCTACATCTAAAGTTTTCGTTTACGAGGACGGTATCCATTGCCGTAATATGATTGGCTGCCTTAGGTCACGTGTCTGGTTTTGACCAATCACGACCCTTATAGCAGACTGTGGCGAAAAAGCGTCATTAGAAACCAATTTTTATCCAATAAAATTGCTTCTTACAAGTGTGAAAAATACTCTCGTCGGCAAGGGTACAGTGATATTGTTGATGTTCAGAGCTTTCGAACGATGCCCGACATCAAACGATTCGCCTCGCATGTTATTCATACGAAGCTTCGAAAACGGAGGTATTTTCCGTTGTTGTGTCATGTTACCGAGCGAAAAGCCACTGATATCGGGAAATAGGCGACCATACATATTATTTAAGAAATCTTTTTTATAATAATTTTCTGATCACGTAAAAATGAAAATATAAAAGAAGAGGTCACGGGCATTTTATGACATGTCACAAATGGAAAAAAATCGCTATAGTTTTTGCTTCTTTCGTGGTTTATCTGGATATAAGTGTAAACTTATTTTCATCATTAACAGTATTTTTTCAAAACCACCACACAAAACTGCCACAGAATACAAATAAGTTCACTTTACGTGAAACAAGTCGTGTCACGTGGCCAAACTTTATCGTGCGATAACAAAGTGCCGGTAAGTGCATAGCTGTGATAAAAATATCTGATTAAATTTAATTTATTGTTTATACTATGAAATATATTTTACAAAAGACAAACAACAAAGTTTTATATTTTATGTTTTATTTGTCCCACCATGTCATTTACCTTTGGAAACGTTGTCAGTACGTATATGCGTCCTGCTTCCAGTGTAAACATTGCCAGTTGAGTTCGCAGGGCTGGCAGATTCACACACCTGACCTCGGGATTTTTTGAGGTAGATTAATGAACTCAAGTATAAGTCGGGTCTGATTTTTTACCTTCATTTTCTGGTATCAAATTTCCGACTTATAGTCGGTCATATACGGTAGTCACTTTTCTACACAGGTGGAGAGCTCACTTTCTCGATCAGCAAGTGGCAGGGTTGTGGTCTCCCGCAGACCACACATGTCACATCAACATTTGGAGCTCAGGGCAGTGATTCTTGTGATCACTCAATGGCATTACCTGTTACAATCAACCAAGCTTTGTTTCGATCAGACTATGCTGCCATCGTGTGGCACATCAATCGAATGGGATCCACGGGGTCTCCTCAGCTTCTTTAGTGGACACAACAGTTTTTTCCACTTAGTAGACTCTTTCAACATCACGGTCCAGGCCAATCACATCCCAGGGTTTAAGTACATCATTGCAGATTCTTTGTCCCGTCGGGTTCGACCATACCCCGATGGGGTGGAAACTGCATCCGCAGGTGTTCCAGACTTTGTGCCTTCCAATGTCTAACCTGACACTGGATCTGTTTGCTACCCGCTTCCATCACCTACTTCCGATATTGGTGTCCCCGATCCCCCTGGGAACACGACGTTCTACCCATCCCCTGGGATGACCTGACCGTGTATGCGTTTCCACCAGTGGCACTACTTCCACGCATACTGCTCAAGTTACGCACGACACAGCGGTTGACACTGATTTTGGGTCGCACTGTTTTGGCTCATTAGTTTGTTCCTTACCTGCAAGACTTGGCCGACCCATTCCAGTACCACTTCACGTCACGCCGATATTATGGCACATCTTCCGCTAACTGCAAAGGGATATTCCAAGCGAGTCGCTGCAGTGATTACCATGGCGCATGTCACTTCTTCCAGGCCACTCTGTGATGACTATGGAAGTATTTTGAAGCGTACTGCTAGACGATGGGTATTATATCTCCCACTACAGCATCGCCGCAGATGGTCGCAGAGTACCTCCAGCATCCTTGCACTTCCAAGGAATTGACGGGTTCCACCTTGTCTACATACCTGGCCATGCGTAACAGTTATTGCGCCGGCTACAGGTGCGAAGGTGTCAACTGTCCCTGAGCTCCAGTCTCTCTTTAGATCTTACAAGTTGCTGATCAATCCCGGAAGTTCTGGCCACCAGCCTGGGACCTTTCTGTGGTGTTTAATCATCTCATGTCAGAGGAGTATTAACCTCTGGCAGAGAAGGCTTTCAAGCATGTCACGTTTAAGTCTTTCTTCCTCCTGGCTCTTGTGACTGCTGCCTGCATCTCCGAGCTTCACGCACTGGATGTCACCCGGTTGCTTTTCGAGAGGACCAGACATGTCAAAGCCCTCCCTGGTTGAAGTGGGATCTCTTCGTCTTCTATTTTGGGCCCTGACGACACCAAGAATCTCTCCCTGTGTCTTGTCCGGACTTTACAGGTCTTTTAACTGCCTCCATGGACCGTCGTAGGTTACACAAGAGACTGTTTATTTCTCTGTCATCTGCCTCATCTACAGAAGTCTCTTGTACCACACTGACCTTCGGGATGTGATCTACCATCCTTCATGCCTACGCCTGCGTTGACCTTCCTCTACCTACTATGGCCAACCCTCATGAGACAAGAGCCTTGACCTCTACAATGGCGCGACATAGAACTGTTTTCTTCACGGCATCATGGAGGGTTGTTTTTGGAGTTGGGCTCGGTCTTTGTCTCGCCCTGCCTCCGGGATCTGTCTGTCACTGACGTGGAAGGTCTTCACCATCTGGGTCCATTGGTTCTGACGTAGCAGTTGTCGTCGGCTCGCAAACGCAGATAAGATGCAGTTCCTACCTCTGTGTAGGTTTTGCATTCTCTATATCATGAAAGATATCCGTCCTATCTTTCTTATCTTCTTTCTTATGGATTATTTTGGGCATAGACCACCTCACCTAGGGTACTAGGGCGTGTCTGCACTGTCATAGTTATGACTCGATAGACTGAGAGGCCAGTCCCGGCTACATGCAGAGGTGGTCGACACTCCGCTTACTGACCTCTACTCTTTGAGCAATTACGTCAGTGAAGTGTTGATTTCCTATTACCTGCGTGGTTTTCGAAGCGTTCTGCTCCTAAGTCCTTTCTCACCTTTGGTAAGTTAGGAGGATTGGTACTGAACGTTAAACTAGTTGAGCAACCGGGCTATTCCCTCCTTCACCGCCTTCCAGCATGTGTCTGTGAGGGGTAGTTTCGAAGCAGGGACTGGCCAGATTAAGGCCCTTGACTTTAATTCACTGGGGTCACCTGATAAATCGCGGGGCCTACTTGCCAAACTGCGTCCTTTTGCTTGTCATACCGTGACATAGGATAAGTTTAAAAATTAGAAAATTTTACTATAAATTGTATATTTATTTACTTATCCTATCTCACGCGATGGATACCCACCCGACCTGCCCCACATCACAGATTACTGGAAGCTCCAAGACGAGAATGACAGGCACAGACCGTCACTTGATCATCTGAGCGATCGGCACGCTTATTGAGATGACTGACAGGTACTGCTATCAGAGTGGGGTCAGAGGTCGGGGGGTCAGAGGCCAGATAACTTTTGATTCAACTTAGCCTACAGCACGTTTCCAAACATGGTTGTAGAAGAAGAAGAGAGGTGCATACCGTGAGATAGGATAAGTATATAAATATACAATTTATAGTAAAATTTTCAATATCTCTCTACAAAGTGGTGTAGCATCTCAAGTACTTTTTGTCATCTGTACTCCATACACAATATATACGTTGTGATTATATAAACACAAAAAAGACATCAGAAAACAGTCAGCCTTATATCACAGTAATTAGAAAACATGTTTATATTTAGTTTGGTCAGCGATGGTTTCAGAAGTGATTTAAAATGGAAAGTGTGAGTGATTAAACATAATTCACAAATAGTTAAGTATTCTCTTTCAAGAACTATACTTTAAGCAACTCAAGAAGAACAACTATAAAAACAACTTCTGGACGTATACATAACATGATGTATTTTTTGTATTTTTTCAAGAACTCGGAACAGAACAACAGACAGAAGCCAAAATGGATAACAGACTTTGTTATCATGCCACATTTCAACAAATTCATTGTAGGAACAGGGTCAGTAGATTTAGCATTTCTTCAATGTAAATTTGTTTCATTTTTCACTATTTAGGTGCCTGCCTATAAATATGGCAGGTGTCTTCTTTGACCAATAGCAATAACAAGGTAACTTGTAATGTATAAGACCCGTGAAGATCCGGGCTAGGAATGATCTTCAGTAACCCATGCTTGTCATAAGAGGCGACTAACGGGATCGGGTGATCAGGCTCGCTGACTTGGTTGACACATGTCATCATATCCTATTTGTGTTGTTCGATGCGCAAATGGGATATGTGTAAATCACTGGATTGTCTGGTCCAGACTCGATTATTTACAGACTGCCGCCATTTAGCTGAGAGCAGCATAAAATCAGAACTCACTCCCTCACACTGTAATGTATAATTTTTAATTTACCTTACCATAGGTCATATGCATATTACCTCAAGCTCCGCTGAAAAGAGATCAGACAGTCGTTGATTTGCCATTCTCTAGAAAGGCTGCCTCAAGTAACGACGAGTGTCCCCCTCCGCGCAAGCGTGGTCTATCCAAAAATCACTTTTACTTCAAGCGTACAGTGTGTCAGTTTGATTTCGCTAGTTCGCTACTTATTAATTCTTTGAGATATTAAAGTTTTTGTTTGTTTTCGGTATGTATGCTTTTTATATCCTATATTCTTCTCTCTGTGGGTGAAGAACATAATTAAAGCAAACTTCACTTACCTGGCTGCCTCGTTTTTCTCACTTCGATGTGGGGTGTGTTCCCACGTTGCGAGTGTCGCTCCACTGGGCATGTTTGGTGTTTTGCATTCTCCTATGTCTTTTTCACCATAATGTTCATGCTTGGTCTTGTATTTCTTGATATTGTTGCCTAATTTGTGCTAGTTTTTCACTCTCTTTTCGGCTCTGTGGGAGCAGCCATCTTGGTTGTTTACTCTGCTGCCGACTGCTTGGGCATGCCCATTCTTGCTGCAGGGGTGTTTCCATTTTCTCTGCAGGTTTTTTTTTTCTGTGTGTTTACGTAGTTTCTACGTTTCACTTTTTTTCACGTTTTACAGCCTTTGTGTGCATGACACGGCAATTTTGCTGTATCTGCAAGGTGCAGAAGTCTGCCAAGGATCCCCACCCTTGGTGTCCAGACTGCGCTACTGTAGCCTGTTCTCTTGCTGAGCGCTGTCATTTTTGTACACCATTATCCGTCACCGATTTCAAGGCTTACACCGCCACCAAGAAGAAACGATTGTCGCAGCGTAAGAGGAAGATGTCTTCACCTGCTTCGTCGTTGGGCTCCAGATCTTCTCTTCCACGGACGCCAGATGGACGCTCCTCTCCTTTAGCTGAACAGACGTCAACACCTGCGCCGAGGAGGCTGACGCCTAGTGCCCGTCTGACACCATTATGGACTTATCTCAGCCGGACGCCTTATCTCAACCGGAGGTACAGAAGCTTCTAAGGACGCTCCTATTGCCTGCAGCAGTTGATGCACAAGCCAGCGCCGTTCCAGCGCCGAGCGCTGTCCCAACGCCAACTTCTGAGCTGCCTAGTGCAGTTCCAGCGCCGACGGCCGTGGCACCTAGTTCTGATGTTGCTGGATTGGTGCGCCAACCAGCCCCCAACGCCGACGCCAACGCCAACACCGATGTTAGACTACCGTATCCCCAATAAGGCTCCTGTGTCTACGTTGTCTCGAGAGGAGAATCTTCAGCATCAGTTATTGGAAGAGTGTTCCCGATGCCAGGAAGCTGAGCGCTCCGATCGTTCTAAGCGGTCTCACTCTAGGTCTCCTCGACAGCGCCATCGTTCTCGAAGTCCCCGGCATAGTTCTGATACTAGTCATCGCCGTCGCCGGTCTGATTCCAGGTCTCGCTCTCCCAGACGTCCCAATGATAGGGAGAGGCGTTCAAGGTCGCCGACTCGTGGGAGGCGCTACCGTCGGTCCTGTTCAAGGTCACCTCCTTTTCGCCACACGCCGCGATGACCACGTTCCCCTACAGTTACCTTTAGTGCTGTTTCTCAACTGTCATCTGAGTGCCCGATGCCTTCTGCTTCTGGCCAACGGCTCATGATGAATCCCTCAAACATTTATCGGGTTCTCCCCGGTCTTCTTACCGAGTGCAGGACTCTAAGATTTTGGCTATTGACACAGAGCTCAAGAGGATGTTGAAGCCTGTTTCGGCGTTGGCCTCTGCAACTTCGGCTGCGGCTTGGGACTTAACTGAGGATAATGCGTCAAGGACAGAGCACCTTACCACCCTGTTCCAATGGCAGAGTAAGGTGTTACATGATATACTGGCACACCTTCGGACGGCGTTGGCCATGACGACTGTTGTTCGGCAGATGGGTTTCCTTGAGCCTTGCTCTTGGCAGGAGGAGTTCAAAAGAAAGCTGTTGAGAGCCCCTTTCGCGTCTCGCTTCCTCTTTGATGACAGGATTCCGGAGGTTTATAAGGAACATTCGGAGCTTACTAATACGGAGTTGTCCCTGTCTACTTTCGAAGCTCTGAGTTCGGCCTTTCGTGGCAAGTAGTCTACAAGGGGTAGAGGGAAGTGTCCCAAGAAGAGACTCTGTCCGTAGCGCCTTCGGCAGAGGACGTGGCCGTGGCAGGTCAGACCCCGACTTTCAGGGTCGTCAGCAGGATGCCCGGAAGAGGTAGGGGGAAGCGCCCCTACTGAGGTACCTCCAGCCCCCAGCCGAGCCGGTTCGTCCTACTCCAGTAGGCGGGAGACTGGGGAATCTAAATATTTTAGATATCTAAATACTTACCTTACCATAGGGCGGTAACTCCTCTGGGCTCTTCGGATCTGGTCAGTTAAAGTGATTTTGGGCTAGACCACGGGGAGATCATGTCACTTCCGTTCCTGTACACTCGTCAATACTTGAGGCAGCGATTCTAGAGAATGGCGAATCAAACACTGTCTGATCGCTTTTAAGCGGAGCTTGAGGTAATATGCATAAGACCTATGGTAAGGTAAGTATTTAAATATCTAAAATATTTAGATTTTAATAAAATTATATAATGTACTTCACACAGTGTTTAGTTTTTTCTAGCTCATTTGATTTACAACTTTGTGTTAGGAAATAGAAATATATTTGATATGATTTAATTTTCGGGGAAGAAGGAATGTGTAAGTGATGCAATATCTTCATATTATGGCAGTGTCATCTCTATTTTGTTACTCTTCTTCATAATTGGTTCTTTTTATTTGTGAGGAAAATTATAATCATTATATTATTTTCTAGTGACCGAGAAATCCAGTTCTTTGAATTGTCATCATTTGAGCCATACTGTCAAGTCAGTGGTTTAGAAACAGTGCCATTGAAGTTACATTACAGGTGAGTGCATTCCCTTTGCTTTTCACTGACAATTTTGCTCTGTTATATTTATATTTATGTGAGATAAGTTAGTTGAGCATTAGTAACAATGTTCTATGTTGTTATTTCTGATATCATTACTATTCTATTCTCCATCTAGGATAAGGACAACCCTTATTGTATTCAGATTTCTGATCTGTGTCTCTGATAATATTTTGTTTTAGGACTTCTGATCTATGCCTCCGGTTGTTATTAGAATATTCTCCACCTATGATAAGGGCATATCTCATTGTTTATAACTTCTAATCTATGCCTCTGGTAGTTATTAAGAATATGCTCCATCATGATAAGAGCATTTTCTCATTGTTTTAGAACTTCTGATCTATGCCTCCAGGAGTTATGAATGATATTCTCCATCTACAATAAGAACAACTCTTGACACTTGTTGACTATGCCTCTGTCAGATATAACAGATATGGATAGATTATTCTTATACAGAAGTGTGGTATATTATTTTCTGTTAGACTGATTTATGCAGCATAATCATTTAACTGTCAGTGTACAATGCTCCAGATAATTTTTCAACATCTGAAGTACGTACTCCTTATTTTTTCAATATAGGAGTATTTCAAAATCTTAAGGAGTACTGAATGGAATTTAATGGAGTATCATTTAAGTATATGCAGCTAGTCTTGTGTAAACAGGTCAGTGATAAATATATTCAAGCATGCTATCAAATTATTTGTATCTGGATAGTGTATATAGATTGTATATATTATATTTCTCTGTGTACAGCTCAACAGGGTATGATGAGTGTCTTATACTGTATGGAGACAGTCAAGGCTGTGTCAACATTCTGGTCATCAAATCAGCTGGTGAATGTCTCAGGTAAGGATCCCTCACTTTTCCCACAGTTTAGAATACAATCAACTCTGATTATACAGTACAACCAGAAATTATTGAGAATTTAAAGATTTTCACTCATTACTCACGTATTAAATGTGAATATTAGCAGAACATAACTCCAGATTCAAAGACAGGTGAACAGTTAGTATTTTGTCAAGTCACCATGGGCAGCAATGCAGGCTTCAATGCGGCGGGGCATACTACTGATCAAAGAAGTTAGAAAGTCGTGGTCCATGCTGTCCCAATATCGGACCTCCTCTTCTTTCATTTCAGCAATACTTGTCAGATTTTTCTTATTGACACTTTCCTTCATAAGTCCCCAAACATTTTCTATTGGATTTAGGTCAGGGCTATAGCTTGGCCAATCTAATAATGTCATTTTTTGGGTCCGAAACCAGGCCTGTGAATGCTTTGAACGATGTTTTGGGTCGTTGTCCTGCTGGAAAATCCAAAAATTTCCTAGAACAGGTGAGCAGATGGAAGTAAATGTTCCTCAAGAATATGTTCCTCAATATCTGTGTACCGCTCACTGTTCATATTCCCTTCAAATACACAGAGGGGCGTTGGCCCTAACACAGATATGCCACCCCACACATGAAATTTCAGACTGTACTTTGGGCGCTGATACAAGGTTTTTCAGTTTGTTTGGTCCAGAATTTCAGTGTATTAGAAAACAGCCACACAGATCTTTCATCTGAGAAAATCACATTGTCCCAGTTAAAATTTCTATGCTTTAAGCACCAGTTCAACCTTCAGGGGGTTCCTAATGGTTAAAGCCTTCGTCCACGCCGAAGACCAGGTTCGTTCCCCACATGGGCACAATTTCAAGCCCATTTCTGGTGTGGATGTTGCTGGAATATTTCTCGAAAACCAAACTGTCAGTCAGTCAGTCAACCTTCGCCATTTTGTTCAGGTTTCATGATCGGTGAGCTCAGCCAACCCATTGCATACAGCTCAGTTCTAATTGTCTCCTTACAGACAGCCACTGTTCCTCTATCAATCATATCCAGCCTTAAGGTTTCTAAACTCCTTCGCTTTGTTTTAGAAACAAGAATACCAAGCCGCCTCCTGTCCCTGACAGTCAATTTTCTGGGCCTACCTGCCCTCCCTGGTGCTCAATGCCATATCTATTTGCAATATTTTTCAAAACACAATAAACAGTGGACAAAGGGAGGCCTGTTCTACTTGAAATCACTTTAGCTGATCTGATGTCCTTGTTATAATACTCTAAAATCAACTTCCTCTTCTCTAAATCATCCATACTGAGGATCACTGAAAATGCCGTCTGCTAGCAAGTAAACAAAGGGGGATAACTCTTCACAAGCTGATGAAAAAGGATTAACGGAGTTGTCTTTCATGTATGAAACCAAGCACTTGATAGCTGGTCAAAGTTGTTTATACTAGAAATCCAATTAAACATATTCCTAAAATTCTCAATAATTTCTGGTCATACTATAAATGAAATGTAAAATCAGGTGAAGTACATGAGAGTGTATAAAAGCCCTTTTCTAATCCTCAACAAGGCTTTAACGCATCCATTTTTCTCCTATAAAACATATAAACCTCATGACAAGGTCAGCTGTAGTATAATATCTTCAAGACAGCTAATTCTATTCCTCCAGGGTAGATATTTTAATGTGCTTTGCTGAATAACAAAATTTCTGTAAGATTCAGAAAGCCAGTTTTCTTGATTTGTTGAACAATTTTAATATTTATAAGTTTCTGAGAATATTTTCATTTTCAAAATTTGGACGCTTGGGTAAATAAACATCATTGGTGCCGTTGTACAAAGCTATCTTAGTCACATGGTGTTCATAGCATTGACTTATGACTTTGGGAGAATGTGGTTATTTTATAGAATGGTACAATTGTCTATGTAAGTGTAAAGATATAGCTGTATGGCTATATCCGTCAGCTCTGTCAGAATAGATATTCAGTATTGTTTATATGTTTGGACACTGATTGTGTGGGTTTGTATCGCACATGTTCAGCCAGTCATATTTCTGACTCCTGTGATATGATCCACATCTTTTCCCTAGGACGTGGAAGAAGATGCCACGACATGATGGTTTCATCGCCAGCATCAGCCTGGACTCGGTGGCAAGTGGTCCCAATGTCCAGTTTATCAGATGGCAGGTTCATGGAGACTGGGTGCAACAGGTGAGCTAGCAAATGACAGCGTTTTGCCTTCATCTACAAAAACAGGGGTCTCCCAAGTCATGAATTGTAGTGGTCCTTGCAGGCAATAGGAGAGTGATGTAAGGTGAAAAAATGGTTTATTGTACTGTGTTTAAGAAATACAGTCTCCTCAACCATGTCATGAATTACACTAATTATAGTTAAAGTCCTTGCACGCGCTAATATTATATTGTGAGAATGAAATGGTAAATTACAAGGGAAAAAGAATGGTAACGCCATTCAATTGTTACTGTGTTTTTATTGTCTGATAATGTTTGTTTTTCGAGTAACTGCTAGGCATCTTAGAAGTTTGGATAAGTACTCTTTCAACCAAAGAATGAAACAATGATCATTTCGAAAGTTGTCATCATTAATGGATAAAACTACAAAACATCAACACCTGCTCTTGATGCACTGTAGGTACAATTGATATTATTGTGTGTGCCTCTGGATACACTGTATTTTATTTCATATCCATTCTCTACATTTCTGCATACTGGATTCACTCTTGTGCATTGTGTAAAACCCTGAAATAACTACTGTATATGTTGCTATTGTTATTTGACACACAAATCCACAGTAGAGAAAGAAAAACACAATTGATTACTTTTTCACATAAATGACCATGGTTATTCAATATCGAAAAAGTGAATGAAATTCATAGCCCTTTGTTTCGGAGCAAGATCAGAAAGACTACCACCGTGACTCGAACCCGCCCGAGCTTGGTTAAACGATGTCGCTTGTTAACAAAAACATGAGATTGATATGGAAGAGTTACATCCCTTTGAAACGAAAACGTGTCATGGCTCAAGTTTGGAAACCTTTTTCGTTCCCGATTGATTTTGTTCATTTCGTAATACTTCAGACCAGAACCAAGTTTCCTGAACTGGGTTTCCTGAACTGAAATAAAAAAGCGAAACCTTTCCACCCTTTTTTATCAGCTCACCTGAGTAAATTCATAGCTATTTTGGCATTGTATTTTTAACTTTGGATTCAGCATCTTCACTACAGTAATGTAGAGTTGAGTATTTAAAGTCCCTACCTATATCGTCCGAGATATTAATGACATACGAGAAACCTGTGCATTTCAAAGACATATCAATGATGACATGAATTGGGAGTATTTATATTCACATTTGGAAATATTTACCGACATAGCCTGAAAACTGGCCTCAGAGTTTGTCCAGATAAATCTCTGTAATCTTTAATCTGCCCAGGCACTGACCAAACATTTTCTCTAGAGTATTATTTATTCGTGAGATGTGTGTTATGACTGAGTTATATCTCACTGGAACAGTTATCACAGGTGATGATGTTCTTTTGTTCTCCAGCTGAAGTACTATCATGACATTGGTCAGGTGATCTCGTGCTCCAACCATGCAAACACAGCATTAGTCATAGGTAAGTAGTACGCCACTAGTTTGGGTCACACATGGAGGCTTTGACTTCTAACATTACTGTATTATGAAGACACTGCACAATACAACACACTTCAGTTGATGAATAGAGATTGTATCCTTGAGTTCATGTAAGGTAGAAAACAGAAAAGGAATGTAAAAAATTGAGGCAATTTATATGTAATAGGCTGGCCAGAAAAAAAACTAACTGGTAAAGTACATGAGTATGTCTGTCAATCTGATATGCCATATTGACATCACAGCATGTTCTTGTGTATATTACAGATTTTTATACAGAAAATGCAGCATTGTATAAAGGGTATACTTATAAATTAACTATTATTAAATGACTTTCGTTCTATTCTGCTTGGTCTTTGACATAAAATGTGACACATAGTTTTAATAATCATTATTTAAATACTACAAAGTATATTTAATAAATGAGATTCCAACAAGACTACATGAGAGGGCATTCTTTTTCTGCAAAAGTCCAGTGTCCAGTGCCTCTTCTAATATGTCCTGTGATCTAATGGCCCTCTTCTTCTGCGAAAGTGCTATGGTCTAAGTCCTGCCTCTTTCATTATGGGGGCAGTGGGGTAGCCTAGTGGTTAAAGCATTTACCCGTCACGCCGAACACCCGGGTTCGATTCCCCACATGGGTGCAATGTGTGAAGCCCATTTCAGGTGTCCCCCGCCATGATATTGCTGGAATATTGCTAAAAGCGGCATAAAACTACATTCACTCACTCTCTCACTCTTTCATTATGTCCTTTGATCTAATGACTGTTCAAGTCGTAACCATCCTAGGTTCATAAGAATCATCAAGTACGGACATATAGTATCAGGGCTCCAAATAAGGGCCGTATTGGCGTATGTACGGATATAAAATGTGCACGATACGGTAGGAAATAATTTAGAAAACGTAGCAGATACGCACCACAGCAATGGTGTACGGTCTTAGAATCATTTACAGACGTATTTATCTGAAAAAGCATTGTTTTATTGTTTATTGACCTGTTTACACAAGAGTAGCAATGTTGTGGTGCAAATATGAATTGCTGATACTCCATTAAATTCCATTCAGTACTCAAAATGTACTTTTTCAGGTACTCCTGTATTGAGAAAATAAGGAGTACGTACTCCTAATGTTGAAAAATTATCTGGAGCCCTGAGTATACTGTCTTTCAACTTCTTTTCAGAGATGTTTGGCATGCAGATTTTCTGCAAGTATGCTTAATTGATTGCTGGGGCTTGATCAATCAAAACGTGCCAATATTTATTGAATGGCAAACTTGAATGCCTAACTTATTACACAGCCACAACTGGTTCATGTCAAGTTTTCTTTGACATTTGTATCATCAATAATTCTGAGAGTCTGAATGTATCTGAGACTGGCGTGATCTACTGGTGTGATCTACTATTACCAGAACTTGCTCATTTGTTAGTGCCTCCTGCAGACAGAGGTAGTTACCTATGTGCATCTCATAAAAAAATGTTGTTTCTGCACCCAGAAGACAGAGTACTATCAGCAGTAATTGTATTTGCTCTGGTAGCATGTAAACAGTATTTAACCCTCCTGGTGAACTCTCAGTAGCATGTACATAGGTTGCAGGTTATATTTTTAGTAGTATATGTGTGTCTGTTCTTGCCAGCTTGCACATCAGCAGTTTATATGAATGTCTGTATTTGCAAGTTTCACTACTGTCTTCATCTGTTTTTATGTGTTTTGAAAGTTCCACTATTGTTTCTATATGTGTCTGTTTTGCAGGTTGCATTGTTGATAATATGTTTAGTTTGTTTGTTGTTTATGTCACACTGATCAAAATTCCAGCTACATGGCGGTGGTCTGTAAATATTCGTGTCTGGACCAGAGGGTACAGTGATCAACAGCGTGAGACTCGATCTCCACAACTGGGATATGTTGACATGTGTCAACAAAATCTGCAAGCCTGACCACCTGATCTAGTTAGTCTCCTCTTATGACAAGCATGGGTTGCTGAAGACCAATTCTAACCCAGATTTTCACGGGTCAAGAAATTTACAGTGTATGTGTCTGTTTGCAGGTTGTACTATTGGCAGCACCCATGTGGAGCAGCAGCTGAAGGAGGTGAAGGACCCAGGTGCTGGCCAGGACAGGAACAAGGGGAAGGGCTTCTATGCCTACAACAACACCAAGACAAGGCTGGAGGCTGACCAGGCCATCTTTCGGGTCTACAAGGGGGTCAAGTGCTTCGACTTCTCAAAGGAAAAAAATATCATGATTACAGGCGGTGAGTGTGCATGACAGTGTTGTGTAGGTCTTCATGGACCTGAATTTGGGTTCTATTGGTTTTTTTTGTTTGTTGTTTAATGCTGCACTCGGCAATATTCCAGCTATATGAAAGCGATCTGTAAACAATCGAACCCAGACAATCCAGTGACTGACATCATGAGCATCGATCTATGCATTAGGGATATGATGACATGCATCAATCAAGTCAATGAGCCTGATCAATTGATTCCGTTAGTCACCTATTACAGCAAGCATGGGTTCCTGAAATGAATTCTAACCTGGATGTTATCAGGACTGGGTTCTTTTGGAACGAGCAACACAGTGGCAAACGATATGTATCCTGATGTGTTCTATATTTATTATATCAATATAGCATGTATGTATTGGGACCAGGGCCTAGATTTTCGAAAGTCTCTTAGTGCTAAGATAGTCGTAAGTTAATGTTAATGTATGGCATTTACGACTTATCTTAGTGCTAAGAGGTATGGGAGTTCGTCAAATCTAGGCCCAGGTATGGTATGAAATTATGCATTTGTGTTTTGGTGTGTGTTTTGTAAACAAGCAAATCTTATAATGTTTTGGAGAGTCTTTTTGAATTCAAAATCGATATCATTTTAACCATAGTTTTAAATATCCTTTAAAAATTTAAGAAGAGGCGCACCAGAATCAATTTGACACCTGTCCAAGATTGTGTGTTCTTCTTCAGTTAAAGTATACTTTAAAAAATACCAATCTTTTTATAAGACTTGATTTCTTGCAGGCATGGATCGAATTATCAGGTTGTGGAATCCCTATGTGTCAGGGTAAGTTTGAAAATTGTCTTCTTGTTGTATAAATATATCCAAAAACCTATGTCCTTAAATGTTGGTAGAAGACATTGGTAGCAAAGTTCTCTGAGATAACACTGGCAATTCAGCAATTTATTGAAACAACTGTGTTAGTGCACAGATCCCTTTCATGTCATGTACAACAGTCAGTACAATTCCTTGTGTTGTAGTCATTGTCCAAAATTTGCATCACAGGTCTTTCCTCTCACATATGATCAAGTTTGACTTGCCATGATATGGCTGAAATATTTCAAACTGGGGTTAAAACAATCTCACACTCTCATAAACTACTTCAATGTTACTTGGGCCCAGATAGGCCAGTACTTAGAGTTGCCAATAGTCATACCCTGTCAAGAGTTGTGTCCCTTGACCATATTAGCCATGTGCGTTTAAGAAAATTGTTGATGCTTTGCTTTTGGGATTTTCTTCTGGCTCATAGATGTAAATTCCTTGGTATGTTAATTTTGTTCCAGGAAACCTACAGCCATGCTGAGAGGCCACAATGCCCCAATCTTCTACCTATTCATTGCTGAAGAAGACAACAGGATATTCAGCTTGTCCACAGATAGGTGTATAAAGGTATGACTCATGACAGGTGCATAAACAGAGCTTTGCTTAAGACAGAATATTTTTTCAATTGTAGCCTCAAGGCCAATAATATTTTCTTTGAAATGCACCACCTGTATTTTTAATGCTGCATGCCGTTTGGGACACCAATAATGTCCACAGAACATATATTCTTTTTTTTTAAAAACCCTAAGACCAAGTTACTTTTTTTTAGACTTTGTGTACTCTCTTGTAACTGTAGCATAACCTTGTGGTTAAAGTGTTTGTCTCTATGCTGAAGGCCTGAGCTAGTTTCTGGATACAGAGTTCTAATTTGTGAAGTCTAATTGTGGTATCCCCATCATGATATTTCTCTAAGTGGAATAAACCATACTCACTCACTCACTCTCTGGGGACACTGGTATATAGTAACAATCTGTGTGTCAGATCTGGGACATCCAGGATCAGAACTGCCTACTGACGGTGAGACCCAAGGGGCACAAGATCCGCGGAGACCTCCAGGCTGTCCACTACTCTCACACAGCCAAAGCCATCGCCGTTGCCACTGACCAGATGGCCTGTCTCAGTCTCAGAATGAAGTGAGTGGTTTCACATGGCTCTGACAGCTGTTATATAACCTAGTCTTAATTATATGATAACAAGTATCTTAAGGATTGAAATGTGTTAACTTTGAATTATGATTCCAGCATTTTAAAGCTGTTTCCACGGGAAAAGTGCATGTGTCTCTTTGTGAACACAGAATTTCGAACACTTCATAACAATGCAATTTTTTAATTAATACAATTTGAAATGACTTTAGTAAGAAATACAAATTTGAAGATTTTGATAGTTCTTTGTGCTGCTTTTATTCAAGAGTACTGTCGTGTATTAGATATTTCCTTTCTGTTCAATACATTATGATATTTTGTTACTATTCATGTGTTCTTTTGTTCCATATACAGTTCAACCCCAATGTCTCTAATTAGGTTCAGACGAATTATCGGTTGTGTCTGACTCATCTCTCGGTCCCTGCCGATTTCCTTATATTTATCATTATCTATATACTGACGGATGTGTCGAACACTCGGATAAGTTGAACTGTTCCCTTGGTCCCTTCAACACAATAGGGTTGAATGTATGTAGAAAACTGTGCAACAATTACAAGTAATGATCTAGAAATCATTAAAACTCATACAGGTTAAGGTGTTTGTTAACATGATGAAATCTGTCCTGTATTGCAGGCCTGTGCTTCATGCTGACATCGTAATAACCCACAAAGAACCAGTCACCTGCTGTAAATACAATCCTAGCTTTAAACAAGTTGTCACCTGTTCAGATGGATCGGTGAGTGCAAAGCAGAACCACTGGAAATCTCGAAGAATGGACTTTTATGTGTTTATGAAGATATAAGTGTATATTTGCAAGGCAGAGTGTGCAGAGTTTATGCAAAGTATAAATATTTAAGACTGCAATAATAACTTCAGACAGTGCAAAGACAGTGAGGTTGTCCAGCAATATGGGCCCTCCCATATGATCTATTGAGTTGTTTTCACAGAAAAGATTAATTCTATTGTTCAACAGTCATTATATTTTTATAATATGTTTTGGATTATACATTTTTCTTGTTTAATACTATTGATGTATGTATTATTGCATCATTGTGTGAATTACGTGTAAATAATGTTAAAAGGTAGTCTTTCATAATCCTGAGGCTGATGTATGTGACATACGTAGTAATACATGAAGTTACAAAATGAGTTGGCTGATGAACACATGATTGTAGTACTCAATATATCAGCTATGTGTGAAGATGTGAATGTACTTAATAGACCAGTAAAATCAGTATGCGTTGCCTTGACCTTGCAGGTAATCAAGCTGTGGGATTTTGAGACTGGGACTCCTATATTTGAGTATGGAGATGCACATGGGGACTCTGCAATCACCACCATGACATTCGACAACACAGGGAGAAGGTACGTGAGGATGTCCTTATACTCATCAGTCATTCATTACATGGACTGAAGAACACAGTTTTTACTAAAGATCGCCGTATTGAAAATAATTTTTTTGTGACACTTAAAATTGAGGGGGAATGGAGATGATTTATTGATGTCAACTTCTTATACCGTTACTCATAATATGGAAGTTGACGTCTTTAAATTTTCATCGCAGCTCCTTTATGAGTATATGGGGTAGTGTATTTATTATATTATTATGTTTGTGGTTTCAAATTGTTGCTTTGTTGTTATTGATTAATGTGCATATGTTATGAAGATATTCACAGAAAAACAAATGCAAAAAGGGTAAAAACTATTGTTTGATATCTGTGGAAAAGGTTTGATTATTGCAAGTTGATTTTTTCCCAAGAAATGCTTTTTAAGAATTTACTGAGAAATACACAAGATTTGTGTGATATGTACATACCGGTACGTCATATATATAGGCATTGTTCTGACTTCCTATCTGATTGTCTCAAGGTTGATCACTGGTGGCCGTGATGGAATTCTAAGAATCTGGAACTACAACAATGGGCATTGTCTACGAGTGCTGGAGAAGGGTGAGATATTAAATTTTCTTTCCATGACATAAATCTTTACAAACAAATACAGCTTGATGTACTGTTCTTGATAAATTAACTTCTAAAGAAATCGCTTTGTGTACAGTTATCTCCCTTGATGCACTGATATTTGGTTGCTTATATGTACAATGGTCACATAATTGTATGACATTGATATCTAATTTCCTTATTTATATATTTCTCTTGTGACACAGAGAGCGGAAGGTCGCAGGTTCGATCCCGACCGCGTCATACCAAAAGACGTTAAAATATGGTACTTGTTGGTCCCTGCCTGGCGCTCGGCATTAATGGGTACAACAAGGACTGGTCGGCTCGGAGTCCGTATAATGTGCCTGAGTGGGGTATTCATGCTTCACTGCGGCATGGTATCTCAGTGAGCTAGCACTATATAACCAGCTTCAGTCTGGGCTAGTACAAGCAGCCGCACTTACACATACACACACATGCACGTCGTCATATGAGCGAAATATTCTCAAGCACGATGTTAAACCCAATTTCACCTCACCTCACCTTCTCTTGTGACAGGTAACATTTTAAGGTTTCTTTATTTCAGAGGAAGAAAATGAAGAAGTTTGTGATGTAACATATGTAGAGATGAATAAAAATAGGTATGTAGTCATGACTTAATTATGTAGTGATGAAAGTATTCCGAACAAGAATAATGTGTGACACCAGTTGCCATTGTCTTGCACTATAAAGTGTTAAAACCCTTCCCACTTGTATATAATAACACAGAATCTAACTCTCACTGGGTCTTACTCTTGAACTGATGCAACTATAGCTAGTTGATTTTGAATATTTAGTGGTATTTTCATAAAGCTATGTGTTTTTCAGGACACCAAACATGTCCACTTTTGTCTACATGATGATGTGTAGGTTGATTAGAGGATTCTCAAAGTTGCTCAACCTTTTTGACTTCCTTTCCACCATAACAGTGATGTAATACTCCCATTCCAGATATGTAGTTTCTGTTGGCTGGGACCGCCGAATCAACATCTACTACGACTCTTTGTCCGACAGCAACATCCACCACGTACAGCACCCTCTCGAATACTGGAATGATGACCTGGTATGTAGCCAATGTCAGATTGCTGACTGCAGCATTGTACAACATATATAATCACCACTGCCTAAGATGTATTGAGACCTGATTAGGGGCTGATATTCCATCCCAACTCAACAGCAAATGACAAAATTGGTTAACATTAACATTTCCCAGTTCAACATTTCCCAGTTCATGCTATCATATTTCAAGCTAATATTACGGTGATGTGTGTTTCACTGATAAAAGGACTAGTATAAAGGAAGAAGCTCTAAATGTTCGTTATTTTTGTGGATGCTGGGGATGGGTGGACACATGGTTCCATGGGGTAAGATTATTTCTTTGACTTTAATGTTAAATGTTTACATGCCTCAGAATTTAAGACAAAAAACTTTTAACAAAAAATATAAATTTTCCTGATTTTCCTACCAATACAACTTAGCTGGGAATCCTAGCTCTTTAATGTTAGACTCCAGAGGCAGGGTACAAAGTATGAATACTTTTTTTTTGGACATTCAACATGTAAGCTCATTTGGTTGTGTTCACTTCATGACCCCTTTTCAAAATCCAGGATCCTGGATCTGAGCTTAGCTCCCTTTTAAAATTAGGTACATCGAGTGTAATATAAATGTGAAATGTCCTCCCCAGAAAAATGGTCACAAGGAGGACATCCTGACCGTGGCCCAGTGTCCCCCGAACCTACTGGCGACGGCCAGCTATGACGGAGAGGTGATCGTGTGGAACATGGTGTCTGGACACATCTTCTGTCACCTCATTCCTCCATCTCCTCCTCATTACCAGGACCAGTCATGTATGTACACATCAAATTCATCAATAAATTAGAACTGAGTTTACTTTTCCATGCTGTATTTACTGTGTAAGTGCAAATATATGCCCCTTGACCTACTTTTAGATCAAAATACAATCAAACTTTTTAGGCACTGCTTACTGAGTCAAAATGTTATTGCATACAGTCTGTATTTTATTGTGTGTCATACAATAGAACATTTGTTGTGAAGAAATGGCTTAATAGTATTCACACAAGTATTGCATCCTTTTCCCCAAAGGGGCGGTAGGGTAGCTCAGTGGTTAAAGCGTTTGCTCGTCACGCCGAAGACCTGGGTTTGATTCCCCACATGGGTACAATGTGTGAAGCCCATTTCTGGTGTCCCCTGCTGGAATATTGCTGGAATATTGCTAAAAGCGGCGTAAAACCATACTCACTCACTCACTCACTTTTTCCCAAAGAAAACACTTTACCACTGGCATGATAACACTGATAATCACAGGATGTTGCCCTTGTAGTGATTACTCATTGGTTGATTCCATAATATTACTTGTCAAACTGTCCCATACATAAGAAACTCACATTGACAAACCAACGTGATGCTGTGGATGCATTTCTGGATTAGATGGAGCTTACATATTGAAAAAACTGCAAATACGAATATGGACAGGGTTTGTGTCACACTCTGATGTTTACATATTGAAGCCAGTGTTTTTGTTTCATCATCATTTGAATTAAGTTTATCCGCATCAAGTCTATGAAATCAATTTGAACTGGTGTATATTTTTGATACCTCTCCAGCCCCACCACCCACCCATAATATTTTAGGTGCCATATGTACATTCTAATGCCAATAAGATAATGTTATATTTATTAACCTAAAATCCAGTCAATGAAAAAACTTAGAGACTTAAATAACATCATTTTACTCTTGAACCAGTTATTTAGTTCAGTCTCATGAAGATCTAAACCTGTGGAGATCCTGGTGAGAATTGGTCTTCACCAACCCATACTTGTCATAAGTGGCGACTAATGGGATCAGGTAGTCAAGCTTGCTGATTTGGTTGAAACATGTCATTGTATCCCAAGGGCACAGATGCTCATGCTGTACAGCATAACATTGATCATTGGATAGTCTGGTCCAGACTTGATTATTTACAGACCACTGACATATAGCTGGAATATGGCTAAGTGTGACATTAAACAACAAACAAAAAGCATTAAAATCTGATCTTGTCCATAGGAAATCATGTCAAGAAAACCCTGAGCTAATTTTGATCATCAAGTCCTCCAGGATGTGTGGATTCTTCAGCCAATCCGATTTCAGATTTCCATGATAATGCATCTTCACTTCCCATCAATGTGTTCAAGAAAACTTTACATTTGATGCACCATCATGGTGGCAAACGCTTTGTCTTCTGATTACAAGCCATCTTGGCCTTTTTGTCCATGCTATCTGTGACTGGTTTTGCCTGGTACAACCTTTCAGGTCTAGTGATGTCATTTCAATGCTGTTCACTGGTGTTAAAGCAACTTTCACTTACACTCTGTAGTTTGATTGCTTTTAGTGGATGGAGACTTGAGCATCAACAAGCTGGTGTTCCTGCAGACCAGAGCCTACAAGAAAGATGCAGGGTCGCTAGTGTCCAGTGGACCTCGTGCCCACATCCACATCTGGAACGTCTTCCAGGGAGGCAAACTCATGGCACAGTTTCCTGGGGTAGGTGTCACTCTCATTTGTAGATGGCTGGGATGATAGAGGGAGGGGATCTGGCAAGTGGGATGGACACATGTAATAGTTTCCTGGAGAAAGTGTCCTTAGAGGGGTGGATGCTGGGGATGGGTGGACACATGGTTCCATGGGGTAAGAGTCACATACATATATAGAATGTCATACTAGTGCATTTGGATGTTTGTATTGAACGAGAAGATGTCATGGGAGCAGAGGAACAACTCGTTCTTTGAACTCTTTGTTTCTCTGCTCCCATGACTCATCTAGGTCAATACAAAACATCCAAATGCACTAGTATGACGTGCTATATTTATTATATACCCTCTTATCTTGCATTAATCTGTTACTTAATAAGTAGAACCAGCAGGGGTTCAATACGGAATCTGGGGTGCAATACAGAATTTGACCATGTCACCCGTATTGCACCCCAGTATTAATATCCTAAGTTTACATGGGTGTATGAGAAATTGGAGGATCAAGGGGGTTGATATGTGCAGGTTTTATGTTCTCATAGACAACAATATGCCTACATGTTTGTTATGTAGCCAAATTTCCAGTATGAAGTAAGTTTCAAGTATGACAAAAATGTTTAAGAAAATAAGAAACCTTTTATGTGGCACAGATTATGGATGAAACATAATTGAAATTTCAATGAGGCATGATTGACACTTTGCATGTGTTTATTCTGTATGAAACCCTTCTATATATTACACAGTCCAGTGTGAAGGGAGCCATGGTCAGTACAATGATCACCAACAAGGCCAACACCTTGCTGTTCACTGGTGACAGCATGGGCTTCATCTATGCATGGGACATCGACAACTACTGCCATGACACACCTGCAGATTCACCCCCAGAGTGTGAGTGGACAATTGAAATGTGGTTGTAATTACTCATATTTGTTTTGTATTAATGAAATCATGATCTGTAGATGAGTAGGATTGCTTCATTTGGAATATTATTGAATACCATTGATGAAATTTGGTAGGCACGTTGCTTGCATTTTCAGAAATACCAACACAAATAACTTTGGAGTGTTTTAATGGTAAATCTAATCAGTAAATATCAAATGATGTATTAATGAGTATTATATTCTTCAAAGTGAGTGAATGATTGATTGAATGAGTGAATGATTTACACTGGCTACCAATCACCGGCTACCAATCACCGGAAGAATTGACTACAAAACTATTGTAATGACGTACAAGTGTCTCAACGGAATGGCCCCTGACTACCTCGCAGAGTTACTGCCCCTGTATCAGCCCTCACGCTCACTGAGATCACAAAACCAAATGCTAGTGACAGTGCCTAACATCAAAACCAACTTTGGCAAAAGGTCGTTCGCTTTCAATGCAGCAATGAAGTGGAACGCGCTACCGCTTGAACTCAAAACCAGCGAGTCACTAACATCTTTTAAGACTGGCCTCAAAACATTTCTTTTCAAGTGTCAATTTCCATCTTAAGCGCACAGAGCATTTATTAGTGAATGATGCGCTATATAAATGCAATTATTATTATTATTATTAATGATTGAGTGTTGTATTGTTGACAATATTCACATTTATTTATTACCAATAAAATATATTAATTTTGAGTTTTCCACATTCACGTTTTTGAATTGCAGTGTTTAAGACTTGGCGAGGCCATGTAGAGAGTATCACCGACTTTGACCTGATGGAAGAACGGAAGATCCTGCTGTCTACATCAATGGACTGCACTGTGCGGATGTGGACCACAGATGGGCATTATGTTGGTCAGTATCCCTGGTGTCACATCATTCCAGCTTCCCTCCACCTTACCCACTGGTGGAATCTTATTTTTATGAAGTATGAATGGGTTTAATGGACAATGGGTTTTTTTTAATTGATTTTCATTGTCAGTGTGTCTACTGTGATTGATTTAATTTGGAAGTATGTTTAGTATGATTGATTTTATTGTCAGTGTGTTTATTGTGACTGTTTCCAATGGGCAATGTGTGAATTATTTTGATTGGCCAATGTATGACGTGCTGTTATTTAAATGACAATAGGGGTGACTATTGAGGTCTAAGGAACTAGTGCGATATCGATAGACTATTGCATGCTACTATCGGATGTCAATAGTCTATTGCAAGCTACTATTGCGATAACTATTGCGATAGTTCAGACAAAATTCAAATTTCAGATAAATTGCCATTTTCTACCAGCTTCTTTTACATTAAACTACTTAAACCATAAAATGTGTTCAGGTGTTTATTCCTTACAACTTCCAGGTCAGTATTGGTCAAGTTGTCATGATGACTTCTTCATGAACATGTCTTAGTATTAAAACATTCCACAACAAGCCAACACATTCACACAGGATTTAATACTATTTATTACAAAGCTGTGGTTTGCAGACTCTTTGATCCCTACAACTTTGTATGTAAAATAACATACAAAATAAAGAATAAATACTGGCTCTGTGGCTCTGTCACATTTTGACAAATGGTCACCTTTCAGTTTCAATAGAAAACACTTACTGTGTGTAAAGGTTGAAAATTAAACAGTTCACAGGTAGATATGTTTTAGTTTTAACACCATGAAGATGACAAAATATATCCAGTGCACTGAACAGTCAACAGATTTAAAGAAGGCTATAATCTTTTGTCACTATGAAAGTATCAAGAAATCTCATAAATACTGGGTAAATGTGTCAGCAGATAACTTGGTGACTCAAGTTGAAAGATGGGTTAACATAATTGGCAAATGGCAATATTTCACATTAACTCTGATTTTATAAATTACTCAAATAGTATGAAGGCAGATAATAGTTCATTTATTATTTTGGGTTCCAACTTTCCAATTCTTGTTTAGAAACAAGAGTCTGTCCACATGTGCAGATTTAAGAGTCTGCTAGTCCATCCATCAGTTGTGAGTGAAACATCCTCAGCACAGGAAATGTCATTCCTGACCTTAGTTTGAACAGTCTCATACAACATGGGCAAGGCAGAATCCGGGAAATACCGTTGCAAGGGGATTGTGTAACGTGGTTCCAAAACTCTCAACATGTTCCTAATCCCATAATTTTGGACAACACTGAATGGCCGCAAATCTTTCACAATATATTCAAGAATGGCTGCCGAAATGTCTCTTGCTCGTTTTGACAACGAAAGTAGAGTAGTGTTGTCATTTAGCACTATCAGGGTTGTTTGTCTCTTAGGCCTATCCTTGGTTGGGGCAAGCGCATCAAGACTGTGCCTCCGACGCACATGATCAGTCAAATTGGTTGTATTTCCACAATACTTCAATATCAGCTTACACTTCCGACATGCAACTCGCTTCTTGTCCAATTTATCTGTTTTTACAAAACCAAAGTGTTCCCATACAGCAGACTTAACTGACGTATTTGTTTACGATTTCAAAATTCACAAAATCCCCGCTGTCTGCTTGAGCTGCCATTTTGGTAAGGGGGGTAACTCTACATCCCCCTTATATCACTGCTAAATTCTGTCGCTTATAGCAAATAGAGATTAATCCCAATCAGGGTTTGGACTGTAGGACAGAACACGTTTTCAAGTTACCGTTATTTATAAAACAAATTAAAGCGATAGTATCGATGCATTGGATCGTCATTTCATACACCTATCGATAAAGTACTATCGGGGGGCTCACAATCGCGATCAATCGATAGTTCGATGCATCGTTACACCCTTAAATGACAATGTGCAAATTGTGATTATTTTAAATTTACAGTGTGAGCAGTGTGATTGTGTTATTGTGATTGTTTTCAATGGGCAGTTTGAGAAGTAAGTAAAAACTTCATCATCATCATCAGCTTACAAACATCTGTAGTACCACAATGTTGTGTTTAGGAACTTTCGGCCAGCCCGAGCCGTGGGACTTGTACAACCCTGCAACCTACCAACACCCGATGGTTCCATACGATGTTCTGATTGACCCGATGAGTCTGCCTTCCCATCCACTACTGGGAGAGAAACAGACCACCCACCAGATCATACACGAAGACTCAACACATGGATCTGATGATGAGAAGGTAAGCTACTGAAGCAGTACAGGTTGGTGGGGGTAAAGTGTTTGCTCGTCACACCAAAGACATATGTCTTTCAATGGGCTATCTTTTTCTACCAAAGAGCGACATAACTCTCCTTAGGAAGTGATGTAAGTGACGGTCCAACACCTCGCTTCTGGTCTGGTTCCTGACTCAATGTACGCCGTGATACCTTGTGACATGAGCCCAGCTCACAGGTTGGCTCATGCACCTTCTTTAAAATACGGTCATTTATAACTAAATACAGCACTTCCTGTGTCAGAACACATATTTTCCATGCACAACCTTTTATAGTCATACTGTGGCTGAAACACTGCCGATGTAACTTTAAAGTCTGACTCACTTGCTCACTCATTACATGACTCGTGAAGGTCCGGGTTGGAATGAACCTTCAGTAACCCATGCTTGTCGTAAGAGGCGACTAACGAGATCGGGTGGTCAGGCTCGCTGACTTGGTTGACACATGTCATTGGTGTGGCGTAAAACTAAACTCACTCACTCATTACATGACATGACGGTGTCCTTTATACAATTATATTATGTATTACTGAGTATGGAGCAGGGGTGGAAATAACCCATTGCCCGACGTCCGAGTCCAGTGTTTTTTTCTGTCGGGCAAGCAAATTTGTATATCACACTGTACCGGTGTCCAGTTGACTTTCCAATGTTATTTATGTTGTTTATTTTAAAAAATCAACAAGAAAACGGCCGGTGTAGTGGAAAATTATCAGGGCAAGTGATTTTACATGTGCCAGTGTTCCGGAGTACACAAGCAATTTTAAAGTTATTTCCACCCCTGTGGAGTAAAACATCACCTACCTCCAGGAATATATGTACTGTTATGTGTTTCAGCCTAGACGGACTCCCTCTCCACCTCCTCCAGTGTTTGGCAAGTCCACATTCTACGTAGATGACAAGACAATCGCAGAGCAACTGAAGGAAAAGCCGTTTGAAAAGGGCAAAGGCAAAAGGTGAGGCAACCGCTGATGCAATAAAGACTTGATTATGGTCAGAATGCTGTGTTATTGCTGAAAGTTTGGAGTGTGTCTTTGAATAAAATTGTGTAAATTGAACTATGATTAACTATCATGAAATTAGGGGTGACTATTGAGGGGGAAACAACTACTGCGATAGCGATCGATAGTCTATTGCAACATACTATTGCGATAGTCTATTGCAACATAGTCTATTGCAACATACTATTGCGATAGCGATAGTCTATTGTGACCAACTATTGCAATACTATTGCAATAGTTTATTTTTCCTTGAATTGTCTCATTTGAAGTCATTTCCCAAATGAATGTATAGTTTATATGAAATAAAGTAGTTTCAGTCTCTTTTAATAACTGACAAGTAACCCAAATCAAGTAAACAGTTAAAACATAAACTTAATGAAGCTGCAAGTCTCAAAGTGAACGAATCTGGTACTTCCTGTATTTTTGCTGCGCATTGATCAACGAAAGTCAATTACTAAACCATTGATAGTCACACATACTATCGATGCATAGATAGTGTTTCATTTCTACCATCGATAAATTGTTATCAGAGACTCAACAATTGCAATCCATCGATAGTTTGATACATCGTTGCAGCCCTACATGAAATGAAAGAATGGTGTAGTCCTAAGCTTCTTTTGAATAGTATACCCTAGAATTATGGGATCAAGCTCTGTGATGTGTCTGATGTTGGGATGAGTTAGTTTGTCTGGACCAGATTGTATTGCTTACATGCACCCATGATACAGTGGAATACTGTAATAAATTTACTGTAATGTACAACTTTCAATGACTTTAAGGTACCATTTATTGCACCTGAGATGTGTTTCAGCCTCGACTGACTCCCTCTCCCCCACCTCCTGACGTGGTGAGCTTATTGCATTTTATAACCTTAGATTCTTACCAATCTGTTTAGATTGCGGCATGAGAAGCTAAAACCAGTAAGGATCGATCGCGGTGGCCCCAGTGAGTACCAGATGTTACGAACATACAATCTGGTGGACACCCCACAACCTACGCCTCCCTCTCTACACTACAACAAAGATGACCCCTTCGACTCACTCTTCATTGACTGATCTGTCACATCATATCCAACGGTCTCTGTAGGGGGAATATCTGCAATATCACCCAAACACAACTGTCACTATCTATATACCAAACTGCAACTGTCTCATTTTCTGTAGAAAGGAAAAGCTTTATATCTGAAAATTACCGAGCAAAAAATGTTGGGGATCATGAATATTTTAGTTGATATTTTTTTATTGTGAAGACTTAGGACACAATTACACAAAAATATTACCATAAAATTGTCATGATCAATAACATTATTTGTTCAGTGTATTTGAACTGAGAATGTTATGAGTGCAGACATGTTTTACTTTAAAATAATTATTGCATATATTGAACTTGTCAATTCAATAAATATCCTTACAATTTCATAATATGATGGGAAAAAAGGATACTCTGGATATTTGACAACTACAGCTTATACCAATATGTTCTGACATCACCATCTATAAAAGCTATCCATTATGATTCAGTATGTTTCCTGAAGCAACCACCTGTTATCTGTGTAAGCAAACATTGCTTATATATATGCATTATTTTAAGTTTCATTTAATATTCTAAACATGAACCCGTCCAATATCAAAATATTGTATCATGTTGTGCTATATTTTTGTTTATCTTTTTATCTGTTGACATGCTGAGTGTGATTGATGTTTAAGCTTGAAAGAGCCATGTTATGTAATTGCTTCTGAGTGAGTGAGTGTATTTAACTTTAACTGTTTGATCTGATGGCGTGTGATGTGGTGAGCTTACAAAACGGGTTTGTTTCTTTGTGCTTGTTATCATATATTTGTTGCCATATACATTGTGTTACATTGTTGCAAGTTCTATGATTTATCAGTGAGTGATACAAGCAGTGTTTGTCTATATCAGTATTGTTAATTTTCATCAAACTTACAAATGAATCATTGTCTCAATTATGAAGTCATTCATTTATTGTTAAGATGTAAAGTCGGTGAATCATGGTGACAATACAAGCAGTTGATTTCAGACAGTATGCTCTTTTAATATACTTGTGGATTCGAGAATTTGGAAATGTGCTTCTCAAATGTTAGAAGTTTTGTTCTGGAGAGGTAAAACTTGTTGCAATCACCAGTTATCTTTCAGCGAGTACCTGGGAAACCAATACAATAATGAAGCTTATTACTCATTAATATATCTGAAGATAATTATTATCATTGAAATTACCTCCAAGAATATGCTGAATTTCATGAAAAATAACAAAATACATATATGTCACTTGTAATTCAACAATTTGAGCGAAATTTGTTTTTTTTTTTTTTCTGTAGGGTTTAACAGGGTTTTATATTTGGGTACAATGTGTCATATTAGCATATGGTATTGTCGAAATGGTGTTATTGTCAAAATATGATCTCATATTCTTTTGTGTATGAATACTTTACTATGATCGTTCTGCTGTGATGTTCAAAATCACATATATCTGTGATAGGAGTGATCATGAGTTTTATTTTATACAAACAGTATTTGTTTCTTTTATCACAAATACACATATTCACTTGAATTACTCCAAGAAAGTCAGCATTATGTCCAAAGGGAGGTGTCACAAATTGTATTATTTATATGATCACTTGATTCCTTGTAGAAGGGATAAAAGTTTTTCAGAAATATATGACTATTTTTGAGAAATAAACAGAGGTACTGATGCTCAGTGATTTGTGATATTTTCACTTTCAGCATTCATAAGATGATCACTATTTCAGATTGTATATATAAATATAAATAAAGATGTATGTACATATATATATACTGCTGATATGCCGCAAAATTTTAGTATGCCGTGGATATGAGTACTTATTTTTGTCCAAATCATAAATGGTTTCCAAATCAGGACACTGGCGTGAAGTGTTTTCATATTCTCATACATATTGTCGGAAAGAGCCATTTTTATATTAATCCTGGGACAAACATATGCAAACATGGTTTCAGGTACAATGCAACAATCTGACTGTGTTACGAATTGCTCTGTGTTCTCTTACTGGTATGTACAATGCAATAAATGTCCAAATTTCTGAATTTTGTGTTTAGTTTGTTATATAAGGTCTTCATCCTAGACATCATTAAGTTCAACATAATATAGCATATTATGAACGACCAAAATGTCACTGCAGCTGTCGCTAAGCCTTCCAATTCTGTTATGCTCAGTGCTCACATTTCACTTACTACAGTTGGAAGGTGTATGTTCATGAATTAGAAAAAGTGAGATGATTGCAAGGAATTCACCAATTTACTGTACACTGTACACAGACATATTTAACATGGAGGACGGCTAGCAATATTCCAGCAACATCACAGTGGGGGACACCAGAAATGGGCTTCACACATTGTACCCATGTGGAGATTCGTACCCGGGTCTTCGGCGTGAGGAGCCAACGCTTTAACCACTAGGCTACCTACCCCACCACGCCGGCACCTTGAACAAACGCATGGGCATAATATGCATTTCAATCTTTTACAGAGTCCGAAATGCGCACAATGTGATTTCAATTGCCCAGATACGAAATCAGCGGGTTTTGTTCATTTCACTGTTATCATTAATAGACATATTTTAAGCACTGACAAAGCAAGTACTCCTTCAATGTCAGAGATTACATTAGTTTTTTGTTTGACATGACTTGCTTTAAAAATGTGTTATGTAGCATGTTTTAGCTGTGAAGTCAGATTAAGGAATTCAGGATCAGTTGTTAACCAAAGGACCAATTTTGTATTTATATGCTCAGATAAACATATGCTGTATGGACATTGGTTTAATAGGACATTGTGTGGACATCTTTACTGAACATTTCGGATGATATAATAAAGACAACTTTGTCTTTAAAAAAAACTTGCCTTCATACTGCACATTGGTAAAGTTAATAAGGATCACACAAGCATACACTGTTATCGCTGTTTAATTAATGTAACCACAAAACAAGGATGAAAAATATAAAATTCTTTATTCATACTTCAGATTATGACGTAGATGTAAATACAAATATTTTTCTCAATATACTTTGCACGGGCTATAAAAACGTTCTAATAACACAATAAAGGCAGTAATCTACTGACTTTCATTAAGTCATCACTTTGCCATATAAAATCTGATTAATTATAGTTATGATAAGTACATGTCAAAAGTAATCATAAGTCACAGTACACAAGAATAAGTAAATTTGGACATGGGAATTAGTAGAAAATAACCTAAGAGCATTGAGAAATAACGAATGATCTATCCTGAGTGAACCCATTCATAAGGAACAAAACAGTATTTCCTCCACTGCCCTAGGTCATGCTTGATATTACCCATTTTCTGAGACAATTAGAAATAGGGGATGTTTTGAATGAAAAACGGTGACATCATCATAGTTATTCTTTCGTTGGAGCGACGTCAAATAGAATCATCATGACGTTATGAACAATGGATGACGTCATCTGCAATTATTTGCGACCAAGCGTTCATATGACGTCAGGTATGTGCCTCTTCGCAAACAATGAGAACAATGAAACAATTGTAATCCTAGGGTGAACCCAAAATAAATTCAACTGTATCTGTGTCCTTACGGGTAAGTACTTTTTTGTGTGTTTTTACGTTTTGTGAATGCACGAGGTACCCTTGATACCCGCAGACATGTTAGTACGTTACACCGTATATTGTTTTCAGATGGTCCCAGGAATCATATAACACGACAATTGAAATGGTCGTAAAAACACTGATAAAACATGTCACTGGCTGATCGAGTTTCGTTTCTGCTTTTCGTCCAAATTATAATAGTATACGATTGAAAAATATGTTGTTTTTCCACATTGGAGCTTAATTTTTGTGTGTGTATGTTTGTTCAGATCTGTAGGATTGTAAACAGTAACAAACTTGGGCAATTAACTATACATATGCATTCTTTACAATCGCGATAACTCATTAATAGGGAGTGAGTAATGAGCGCGAATAATGTTACTGTTAAACGGGTGAAAAAGTTAAACACAACGTGAAAGCACATACCCATTAAAGTTTGACTCATCTAAGTCCTACAAAGTAAAATTCTATGACTACCTGGCTATATTGTTAAGTGACGATTTTAATGGATTCGTACAGCGCCCTGCAGGTTATCAAGGCGACTTTGAAATGGGTCAATTCGAACAGATCGCTGTGAATAGATTGTTATAACCGTGAACCCAAAAGATCATTCCTTCTTCAGTTCATATGTATTTTGTCAATTATTTTTTCCTGTCCTGATCAAAACATTGAACTGAACGTTACAAAATCTGCTATATCGTGTTTCGACACCCCACAATTTCTGATATCTATTTTGACAATAATCGATTATGTTTGAACACGGGAGTATTGACATTCTTTGAGTATTTTTGTTAACAAAAACCAACTCTTAACCGAAAACAACCACTGTATCACACATGTATCAGTCAGCACATGTGTTTTCTCACAAATATGTCTTTATGTGTAATCTTATTTATATTTAGTTTGAAGGAAATGCAGCAGAGAATAATTCAGTTATAGGTGAAATACACAATTTCAAATGTAATAAAATACTGCATTGCATAAAAGAAATTACATATTAAAAACTCATGAATATCGATAGAGTTTAACAGTGTTACCAAACGTAATATATTCCATTTACTGCTATTTGAAATAAAATATTGGGCAGAAACTGAGTGTACACGCTTCAGTTGTTCCCGTGAAGATTCTATTAACAGGAAACCAATATTGCAATAAGCATTATGAGACCCTATCTTAATGTGGTCGACTTAATAGAAAATAGTTGTAAAAGATTGCTTAAAAATGATAAAAATAACAACAAAAAAGGGATTTTTACAAAATAAATGAAAACAAACCTTACGCTACGGTTGAGCAACATCTCGCTTTACAACATTAACTATATCTCGTAATCTTATTCAGTGCTGCTTATAACTGAGTATAGTAGGACTCCTTGCCCTTCTCGAAGGCTGGGTTCTCGTACGATGGCGGGGGCGTGTCTCTGCTTGCCGCTGGGGGAGCGTACTGTGTAGTAGTAGTCAACCCTGCCCTTTCTTTCAAGACGTCGTCGTAGGTCTTGTACCCGTAGTCACACGGCCGCATCTGATGTTGTTTCAGGCCCGTTGGACGTAACAACACTCTAAAGTCCTGTAAATATATAGATTGCGAGTATGTTTGCTTCATACCTGGACACAAGTTCTACAGTTTTGGAACGGTTACTTCAAGCTGTGTAAAAACTTAAAACAGGCAAGTTCAGTTGCCCTGAATGTACAAGCCGTTACGTCCGGAATAAACACATTGGTGGCAGAGTTCTCTGAACGTAGGCACTGTTAGTCCAAGAGCCCTGTGGTGATTTTTGTACCGAGAGAGGCCAAAAGGTTTGAACATGTATTCTGATGTACAATTGCCTCACGAATCCAAAAAATTCAGTCTTACAAATCAAAGCTGTGGCTTTAGCCCACTAGGGAGCGTTGAAGCGATGACTCAGCATTTTTTTCAGATAAACTGCTGCATCCTTTCAAATGCCATTTCCCAACTACAAATACTCAGTACTTCACCCAAACTGGTTGCAATGTAAAGAAGAAAGATCAATGTGTAATTTCACAAAATAAAATGTTTAACAGAGTAGTATGTAGAGTAATGTCACATTGTTTTTCTTCGTAGATTTACAATTTTTTGTCATTTTACCACCTGAAGTTCATTGTAATGAAGCTAAAGTATAATATAATACAGTATTTAAGGCTTTTAAATATGTAAAAATGTGTAAGGAATTCAAATATATCAACAAAATGAATCGACCGATGCTTATGATGTAAATTTCTGTATTTCTGTATTTTCGTGTCCTGGCTCCGTTATAAACAAAATGCCTTTAGATACTGGCATACTCCTGAGCGATGCATTAAACAGCAAACAAACGATGCTCAATGCTTGCATTATCTGCCGTAATCCACGCAATGATGTCTTAGATGTGTAGTTTGTCTATATTTCACCAGACTGTGAATATTGAATCACCAACTACTGCCTTACAACGTACCCTGCACTTGAGGTACTTGTAGAGAGCGATGATGGGCACCCAGATGATGGAGAAACACGCCATTGTCCATCCGATAGCTACCGCCCAGTCCGGGTAGGTGTACACTACTGATGGCCTTTCGTAGGTCAGCTCCGAGTAGTTTATGGCACTCATCACGAAGATGGACTGCAAAACCACAGGGTATTAAATATATTAGTGTCAGTGACGACTCCTTTGAGCAGAATCTTTAACATAGCATGGAGCACGGTATTTGACATATCATTGAATTCAACATAGCATGGAGCACGGTATTTGACATATCATTGATTTCAACATAGCATGGAGCACGGTATTTGACATATCATTGAATTCAACATAGCATGGAGCACAGTATTTGAGATATCATTGATTTCAACATAGCATTCAAAGAACTCACAATGCAGAAAAGGGGCGAGAAAAACAGCCAGCAGATCTTCATGAAAGGGAGGATGTTCCAGCCAAGCATCATCTCAATGTTGGCCAGGAAGCGGTTTACACCTGAAAACAGAAGGTTCAACATTGTGTGAAGGGTTACAGTCATTAAGTTTCCCCGACTCCTTGTTAGCGGACCAACCTACTAATGACTGACGAATCATTGTCTTTCTGGAGTGAGTGAGTTGAGTGTGTATGGTGTTATGGTGACCAATTCTCCAGCAATATCGGAAAAGGGCTCCACATATTGTTACCGTATGGGGAATTAAACAGGGGTCTTCGGTGTGACGAGTGAACGCTTTAACCATACGACTACCCCTTTGCCCTTCCAGTCGTTGTGGATCCGGATTAGAATTAATCTTCAGCAACCCATGCTTGTCGAAAGTGGCGACTAACGGGATCGGATGGTCAGGCTCGCTGACTTGGTTGACACATGTCATCCTATCCCAGTTGCAGAGATCGATGCTCATGCTTGTTGATCAATGGCTTGTCTGGTCGAGACTCGATTATTTACAAACCGTCACCATATAGCTGAGTGCGGTGTTAAACAACAATCAACCAATGCAGCCGTTGTTACAACACCGGTGGACCAGACTCTGCATCTCGTCGCGCAGTGTTATGTCCCTTGGGTGTGCAAGACACCTATGATCATTGGTTCGAACTTCGGCTGGTTCACATTTTGTTATCAATAAAATTCTTCGATCTGCATTCGTTCCACATCTATGCTATGTGCTATGTCTGACACAGTTCTTGACGCAAAAAATTCGGAGAAAACGTTTACTTTTGAAGGGAAAATAAGTAATCATGTATTTTAATCATCAAACAAAAGTAAGTTGTTTTCTTGACAGATATCGCGATTCGGCAATATTCACAGTTAAAAATCGATGTATCGTGGCCCTTTTGAAGTATCGTATCGGGATATACGACAATGTAATACTTCGTATCGATTCACTTTATCGGCGGCCCATGGATCGATGCATCGATGCGTAACAATGAATTGTCATATCACAATCCACATCAAGGTGACATCAATGAAAAACTGTTCAAAGCGGTGTTAAAATTATTCGCCACAGTAGTTGAGGTTGGTTGCTGTTTAACGCCGCACTCAGCAGTACTCCAGCTATATGGCGGCTGTCTGTAAATAATCGAGTCTGGACCAGACAGTCCAGTGAACAACAGCATGAGCATCGATCTGCGCAAATGGGATACGATGACATGTGTAAACCAAGTCAGCGGTCCTGACCGCCCGATCCCGTTAGTCGCCTCTTACGACAAGCATGAGTTGGGGCGAATCTCAATATGTTAATGCAACTCACCATAGATATAGCCGATGGCGATGAGCTCGAAGAAAGCCACCAAAAGAATAATACGACTTCCTGAATAGTAGTCGAAGAGCTGGAACACGTACATCCCTCCCTGAAACATTCAACACATATGGTCACTTCCTACCTAGTTGACAGCGGCGTAAAACAATCTCACTCACTCATTTCTCACCACGGGTCTACATTGTTAATGTGTGGGGTGGTGCTTAGTGAATATGTTTATAAGCCGCATTTAGCAATATTCCAGCAATATCAAGGCGAGGGAGACGAGAAATTGGCTTCACTGTACCCAAATAATACATCGAGCATGTCATTAACGGTAGAAAGTGTACATTGAAAATAGTATTTCCCTTGCAACAAATTCGTACTGATGGACGTAGATTAACTCCGCTGTTTCTCTATCTGGTTACATAGATGTGTTCATTATCCATATGACAGCATCTTTGTAATTCACTCCTTTTATTCTGTTGTCACTTATATCAATACAGATTACGCTGTGTACAGCCTATCGTCGATTGGGGGTTACATTGGTGTGGACGAAGTGTGAAGCTAGGTGCCGGTGGTAGGTGATGGTGATGGTGATGGGATCGGTTCTGACTGACTGATAGACTAAGGCTTAGTCTCTGAATATATATAATTTTGATAGTAACAAACAAGCCCATTTATATTGAAAAGGAGCCCCAGGGCGACCAGAGATTCAGAGATTCCTGAACCTGAGGAAATCTAGACTTGCTATATTTAGGGCTTTAGCACTGCAGAGAGGGCTTGGCAGTAGGGAAATTAATGTGGTTCAGGGACTGTGAGACAGACTGACTGACTGACTGAGTTTGGTTTTACGGCGCTTTTAGCAATATTCCAGCAATATCACGGCGGGGACACCAGAAATGGGCCTCACACATTGTATCCATGTGGGGAATCGAACCCGGGTGTTCGGCGTGACGAGCGAACGCTTTAACCACTAGGCTACCTCACCGCCCCGATCGGTTCTGAAAGGGGTCGAATAATCTGCTCGGTGGGTGATGATATAGGAAGAGGTGATGTATGTGGATAGACTACTGTAACGAATCCAGGAGATTAATGGTGTGTGTGTGTGTGTGTGTGTGTGTGTGTGTGTGTGTGTGTGTGTGTGTGTGTGTGTGTGTGTGTGTGTGTGTGTGTGTGTGTGTGTGTGTGTGTGTGTGTGTGTGTGTGTGTGTGTGTGTGTGTGTGTGTGTGTGTGTGTGTGTGTGTGTGTGTGTGTGTCTGACCCACTGTTTTAACAATGTACATAAAGTACCGTTGCTGGTTTACATCTGTAACTGAAATTGGTCGGTCAAGAAAAAGGCTTTACTTACGTTTGTCACCATGGAAAGGCCGATAAGGAAAGATAAGAAACACACAATGCCGATGAAGATCTCTTTGCGGTAGCCCTTTCTGAGGTAGGAGGGATACTGGTCCACCACGGCCGTGATCACACCCTCAACACCCACGAACTACAAACAGAAACACACAGTACACAATCACTAGTTCACATCAACGATATGCATTACACAATAACTGCTCAGAGAACTATACAGATATAGAAACGTCATATAACAGAGAGGTTTTAGGGCTCCAGTAATGTCCTACATTTAAATGCAAGAAGCACGTCTATTATCTTTTGACCTTCTTCAAAATATGATTCTGATCACCCAGCAGTAAATGGGTACCCGGTAGGAGGGGATGTTACTGTTAACCTTCTAGCCACTCAAAATCCAGCTTGGGACGTATACTTCCAAATGAGAAAGAAAGTGCACACAAACCCAAAACACCTGGGGAAATGTTACAATGTTAGCCCTTTGAGCTTGCTTATGGATGGCGCTATAAAATATGCAAAGTATTATTATTATTATCATTTTCATTACACGTACACGAACTATACTGAAGAAGAAACTATAATCACGCAAACACGGACAGTCCACGCCCTATCTCGTTATCATCCCGGAAAATCATACAAAATGCATCAGCGGTAATAACCGGTTTTTAAATGTTCTCAAGTCTCCCTCTCTTTGCACTCCTCCTTCTTAACAAATAGTGAACTGTGTCAAAATTTTAATGATAGTTTGTTAAACAACATTTTTATTTTTAGGACATAAATTCTGCAAATAAATCACAGAGTTGGTCTGATTTTTTGATTATGATCAGCGTTTCATTGAGTATTATAAGTTTATTATTTTTCGAGTTAGATTGTAATTCATCGGTCCAATAGGATGGTCGCCACATACCTGACTGTCGAGACCCAGTAAGATGATCATGAGAAAGAAGAGGATGGACCACACAGGAGCCGCGGGCATCTGAGCCACAGCCTTAGGATAGGCAATGAAGGCCAGGCCCGGACCTGGATGAGATGAGACGGGAGTTAGTATACAAATCATTAAGTCAAAATATGTGAACATTTTTAAAGTACTTAAGGTGTTCTGAAATAAATTTATTTTACATCACATGTTCATAAGTTGCATAAAAAAAAGCTGTGCACAGTAATGCTGAAATAGTGATACACCAAAGAGTGTGGAAACATGTCATGGTACATGGAGTTGTCTCCCTTGGCCCATGAATTTGCCACTTGAAAGATTATACTTGTGTAGGGTAACTTCACCGAACATACAGACAAGATCCTATTTTCAAATGTTTTTTTTATGTTTATTCTGGTTTCAAAACCAAACAGTGGAAATGCCAAGTCTTAGGCAAAAAATTTGAATACTGTAAAATTTGAGAGAACCTGTCATACTGTACAACAACGGTTAGGAACAGGCACAACCTGGGCGTACATATGAACTACTAAACAAAACAAAATTTTTCTTTTGACTGCATTTATTATAACGTAATTTGAGAAAAGGATTTCTTTTACTCCTTTGAGTAGTATATGTTGTAGACACAGGAGAAAAATAGACCATTCAATGAAAATATCCACATGCATAGCGAATCTGGTATTGTGTAGCTCTCCCATGTCGTAAGACTAACGCGCTTAGTCTCTGAATATATATAATTTTGATTGTAACAAATAGATCCATTTAAATTGAAAAGGAACCCCAGGGAGACCAGAGATTCCTGAACCTGGAGAAATCTGGACTTGCTTCATTTAGAGCTTTAGAATTGCAGGGAGGGTTGGGCAGTAGGGAAAAATATTGTTGTTCAGGGACTGTGAGACAGACTACCATGTCGTCTGCTTACCTGATTCGGCCACGTCTTCTATAGATCTGCCCTGGGTCTTCGCCATGTAGCCCAAGATGGTGAACACGATGAAGCCGGCGAAGAAGCTGGTACCACTGTTGGTGAGTGCGAACAGGACCGCATCCCTGAAACACGGGTAGTGAGTGAGTGAAATGGGTTTGGCACCGCTTGACCAGTACTCCAGTCTTGAGATGTTAAAAGGGGAGCTTTCCCCTGCTGTTGTGATCAGACAAAACCATGCATATGTCGGCATATAGTCTACTGATGCGTGCTACAATCACACAGAAATCTTATCCTTCAGTTCGACGGATGCCTATCTGCATGAGTGAGTGAGTGAGTGTGTTTTTACACCGCTTTTAGCAATATTCCAGCAATATCGGCGGGGAACTCCAGAAATGGGCTTCACACATTGTACCCATGTGGGGATTCGAACCCAGGTCTTCATCGTGACAAGCGGACTCTTTAACTACTAGGCTACCCCACTGCTTCCCTCTGCATTAAGATCTGAGAACTCCTCCAAGCAAGTACTCATGTATGTATTCAGGTCAGTCTAATGGACATCTGCAACATGTAACGTATCTCCACATTGCGTCGTTTCACGCTGTGGTCAATGATATTTTAGCTTCTCTTCTGGAACTTGTAGAGTCTCGGATGGGCAAACCCGTGGTTGATAGCACGAGCAACGTTGATCTCATCACACAACCACCTGTCTGTTGTTTAACACCGCACTATTCCAGCTATATGACGCGGTCAGGTAAATAATGGAGCGAATCAGAACTTGTGAGACTGTTTAGAAATGAGTACAAATCTCTCTCGGTCCTTTATGCTAATCTGACATCTGAATTTGTCCTGAAAAATGTGATTCGTCCAAAGTAAGTAATCGAAGATACTAAGAATGAACAACACTTATCGCAGAATATTTTCGTCTTCATTTTTTTCCAGTCCGTTTGGCCCAAAGGCGGATCGATGAATTGCAATCCAATTCGAAAGCTAATAAACATATAATACTCAATGTAACGCTGATCATAATCAAAACATCAGATCAACTCTGTGATCTTTTTGCAAAATTTATGTCCTAAAAATTAAAAAGTTGTTTAATAAACTATCATTATCATTAAAATATTTACACAGTTCACTATTTGTTCTGAGGGAGGAGTGCAAAGAGAGGAACAGCCGGGTGTGCGAGAAAGGATGAAAGCACAGGTAAATGAATCAATGACTTTGTCGGCACTTGTGCGCGTGCTACACGTACACCTGGCTGTTCCTCTCTTTGCACTCCTCCCTCGTAACAAATAGTGAACTGTGTAAATATTTGGACATAAATTCTGCAAAAACTCACCGAGTTGGTCTGATGTTTTGATCATGATCAGCGTTTCATTAAGTATTACATGTATATTATATTTCGAGTTAGATTGCAATTCATGAGCCGTTTGAGCCAGCCGAACTATAAACGTTTTTCTTTCTTGAGTATCAAAGTTATAAGTGCCAAGGGATTTCAAAATACATAGAGTATCAACAGGTTCTGATTATAATATTTTAATTCATTTATATTTACAGCGATGGTAGCTATGTTTCTTAATGTAACTTTTTACAAATATGTAGTTGGCGAAATTAATGTGTGCTGCTGTTCTTTTCTTTTCTTTTTTCACACGTGATTTTTGTGAGTGGTGGTGGCTGGGGTAGGGGAGAATTCGGCGTAGGGTATGGATTCAAAGTGTTTGCAAAAAGTCTGACTGCATTACATTGTGTGGTGATTGTTCAAAGTGAAAAGGGGCGGTGTTCAAAGCGTTGAAACGCCGAAGCCCGGGTTCGAATCCCCACATGGCCCGTGTAATGCCCATTTCTGGTGTCCACCGCCTTGATGTTGCTGTAATATTGCTAAAAGCGGCGTAAAACCAAACTCAGTCAGTCAGTCAGTCAAAGTGAAAAGCTTTAATTGCCTGTGTAATGCACGTCTTCATATTCTAACATGAATCAAAGGTAGACAACTCGTGTTTCAGATAAATATCGAGTCCTTTAGTCGTTTCAGACAAAGGTAATGGGTTCACGTCGAAGTTTGCACATCCGTCGCAAGGCCGTCGTGTTTGCACATCTAGGTTAGACAGTGTAGAATTAAATGTAATGTTATGTTTTTATGTTAGTAAACACTTGTGTAAAGTTGCATTGTTTTGGCGGTTGCCTGTCGTGGACGCTTTCCTGCCTTTCTTAGCGATCTGGATCCTTAACATAGCCAGCTGAACCATGCGAGGCTCGTTGGTCTAGGGGTATGATTCTCGCTTTGGGTGCGAGAGGTCCCGGGTTCGAATCCCGGACGAGCCCTGCGAACTTTTGGTGTCTCGGATACAACATCGGCAGTGCAAATTGTGATTATGATATTTTATTTTGTTTTCAAACTTTACAGCAATTTACGAAGTTGAACTTAGAGAAGTGTGTTAAATCAATGATTTCAAAAGTATGGTTGAAAAATTTCTTAATTTTGAAATTCTTTGTCTAAAGGAGAGGTACAGTGTACAACTTTGAAATTTTTGTTCAACAAATAGCTTGTAAATTATTTGATGGATTGTTTTCAGATTTGGGGAACATTTCTTTGTCTATTGATAGGTGTCCCTAATGGTTATCTTGTCATGAATTGTTTCCAAATTTGGAACTATTCCTGTATTTGGCAATGTCTCACCCAGGTAGAACATTATTTATCTATTATCTAGCAGACCTAATTGTTCCGGGGCCTGCAGGTTTTTAACAAGTCTTATAAAGGGGTGTCAATGTCAGTTTAGTTGTGAGTCACGGTCGGGGGGTGTTAGTGAACCCTCCTCACATGTTTAGGCTTGTCGTTATCAGTAATATTACCTGTAGGAATTGTGATGGAACTTGTTGTAGGATCCAAGCGCTGTCAGCGCACCCAGTGATATGGAATAAGAGAAGAAGATCTGGGTCCCAGCATCCACCCACACCTGGAATAGCCATATAGGTATACACTATCCTTAAGTACCAGTCATGCACGGGAACATTTAACTGTTTAACATTGAAACACAAAAGCATCCTGATTTGTTTACGGGAAAAATGCCATGCGAAACTGTCTTTAAATAATTATGTAAATCTATCAGTAGTCTGTCGTACCCTGACACATTGTGTACGTACCCTGAAACATATATACCCAATGTAGCCCACAATACGTGGCTTGTCTATCTTTAAACTAAGATCTAGCCTCTGAAATGAACATATTTTACAGAAGAAAACTGTTCATAAAAAATAATTAGAAAATATAACTGACTGACTGACTGAGTTTAGTTTTACGCCGCTTTTAGCAATATTCCAGCAATATCACGTCTCACCAGAAATGAACACATTGTACCCAGAAGAATCGAACCCTGGTCATCGGCGTGACGAGCCAACGCTTTAACCACTAGGCTACCCCACCGCCCCTAGAAAATATAATGAAAAGGAGCCCAGAGACTTTCTTCATTTCCAGAGATTTGCCACATATTCTAGACTTGCATGGGTTTTCTTGGATATGTTTGTTTCAGGGTCTGTATGACAGAATAGTCTATTTTCTGAGCATGAATAAAGTCTTTGGGCTCCTTTTTATTTTATTTTATTTTATTTTCTGTAAACTGGGTTCATTTCAGAAACTAGACGTTAGTCCAATCTATGAGTGGAATCCGCTTAACCACAATCTTCACTTGAGTATGTACAGGTCTGAGTCATTTGAGGAACAAAAGGGGCAGATGAACGTACCTGAATGTCAGCTAGCTTAGCAACGTTTGGCTTCAGGTAAAAAATGACGCCGTCGTATGCGCCGTCGAGGAGGGCGTTTCTGATCAGCAGACACAGCATGAAGATGTATGGGGAAGTAGCAGTCACGTACATCACCTAGGGACAGAGTGAGGGAGTTCATTTGAAGAGCGTCACAACATACACATGTGACATATTTGCAACGTGAAAGGGGCCGGTCTGGTGCTCGGCAAAAATGGGATGAAAATGGGCTTTGAGTAAGTAAACACACACGTGCATATGATGCACGTCGATGTATAATCTTGAACATGGCGTTAAACACCATTTCACCTCACCGCTAAAGGGGGGTCAGTGCTCGGTCTGTTTGGCAGGCCCAGCAAACTTAAACTCTCTCATGCATCACCGATCACTTTATCGATAGAATGTGGTGTGGGGTCCTGTGCATAGAGAGCAGGTCACAAATCAGTTGAAGTTAAGCAACGTTGGGCACGGAGAGTCCTTGGCTTGGTGACTGTGTTTAGCACCTTGACTCCTGGGAGTTTCTAGCACTTCAGTCCTGCTCCACAACGAAGCACATTTGATACACGTGATCTCACCTTAGGAAAGTGAGTTAGTTCAAAATTATCTCTGTTCACCCAGCAGAAAATGGGTACCCGATGGGATAAGTCATGTGACTGTTAACCTTCTAGCGCCTTACAGGCGGCTTGGGTTATCCGGGTCATAATGTGCTGAGCTTTGATTGTTAGCGCTATGAGCATTATTATTATTATGTTCTTTATTCCTCCTGAGGAGAGTTACATCAGAAATCATGAGAATGTGAGAGAATATACAATTTCAAAAATGCGAAAATGCGAAAGAATGTACAATTTCGAGGATGCAAGAGAGTATACAATTTCAGAAATGCGAGAACGCGATGGAATGTACAATTTTGAGAATGCAAGAATTCTAGAGTATATACAATTTCAGGAATGCGAGAAGGCGAAGTGTGCAAGCATGCAAACTTGCAAGCCTGCTAGATTGTGTTCACAATCCAGTGGTTTACTGAATCATCAAACACAGTCTGAATAGTCCATTGATCAACATCGGAGCATAAATGTCATCATCACCTCCGTTCAGAGGTACTGGAGGTCGCCAGGATAAGAGGCAGCAAACCATATCCACATCATTCATGGTGTGAAGCGTCACACTCAGGTCTATTGGCTCAATGGATAGTATGCTGCACCACAACTCTTCTCGTTGTTGTTCGGTACATGTACACTGGCAGACTATATGTACCAACAGGTCTTCATAGTCCCTCTCACACAGTTTCCAGCTTCCCATTGCTAGTACTCCACTAGAGCAGCTACACGAGGACTTCTGGGTTAGAACTGGCCCCTAACAAAGTATGCTGATCTAGGGGGGAACCTAATTGATCGGGTGGTCAGGCTCCGCGTCTTGGTCGATGAAATGAAGGCAAGCTCATATTATCAACCACTGGATTGCATGTTCCAGACTTGACCATTTACAGACTAACTGACTGACTGACTGAGTTTGGTTTTACGCCGCTTTTAGCAATATTCCAGCAACATCACGGCGGGGGACACCAGAAATGGGCTTCACACATTGTGCCCATGTGGGGATTCGAACCCGGGTCTTCGGCGTGACGAGCCAACGCTTTAACCATTAGGCTACCCCACCGCCCCTACAGACTAACAGCATATTGTTGGCATATTGCTGACTGTGGCTTTAAACAGCACTACTCGCTCATTCAGGCTACGCAATACCCGGTTAATTGAGACAATACAAAAGGCAAAGATATAATGATCATACATTTTCCAAGAAAGCTTCTCGTGTGCCTGTTTTGACAAGCCATCAAGATATGAACTAAGATCCACTTGTTTAGTTTTCATGCATGTTTTTGAGAACATTCTGCAGTCATGTATGTTCACCTTTCAAGTCTCTCGTGAAAAATATATCTGTATGGGCATATGTTCGTTCAACCGTTAAACAACAACCGGTCTGGCGAGTTTCACCTTCCTGAGTTCACGGAGACCTGGAGTCATCTACAAGGTTCCACACACCTGAACACATCTGACCTTCATGCGTAACTGTCAACTATCCTGACATCTTTTCTAGCACCAGTACTAATTTATGCATCTGTACATCACATCTATGTAATGGTCTAGGGCCCATGTATGCCAGGGCTTAAGTGGAATTCTAACGTGGCCTAATTTAATGGTCTAGAGTTCGGGATATAGGTGGAATTATGACGGTGTCCATATGTGATTTATATCACCATTATATACTGTCAGCCGCTTCACCAGTCAACGTAATGGTTGAACGGCTTAATTCAACCTTTCTATAGGAGTGACACTTTGCGATAACCTCTTGCCCCTTAAGAGCTGGTTCTGGACCTGCGCACATGCCTACTTTATCTGGACTTTAGCTTCTTTCAGCAATATTCCAGCTTTATGTTGGCGGTCTGTAAGTAATCGAGTCTGACAATCAGACTATCCAGTGATGGTAATCAGAAGCATCGATCTAGGCATGATGGACATTATGACATGCAGCTAACGCGATTGGATGTGGATTCATGTGGAACAAATGAGTCGATATGTTTTCAAAGAAATTACTGGTTTGAGGCCGGGTATTATCATATTAAATCCAAACTAAAACATGATGACATTTACGTTTTTCTTTGAGATATTATAATAACTCATCAGTGTGTAGAGTACAGATATACCTTGCCCGATGACTTGATGCCCTTGCATATGCAGGCGTAGACGACGATCCAGGCGAAGATGAGGCAGAGGCAGAGATCCCACTTGATGCCACCCATGTCGTGCAATCCATCGGAGATTCCCAGAACCTTATGTCTGCAGGATACAGCGGCAGTTATAATAGTCACGGAACAATGACAATCGTAACAGTCATAATAGTCATGAGTCAATAATACTTGTAACAGTCAAGATACAATGGCTGCCATAAGTGTCATGAGTCAATAATACTCGTAACAGTCAAGATACAACGACAGTTATAATAGTCACGGAACAATCGACAATCGTATCGTAGTCATGATAGAATGGCTGCCATAAGTGTCATGAGTCAATAATACTTGTAACAGTCAAGATACAATGGCTGCCATAAGTGTCATGAGTCAATAATACTCGTAACAGTCAAGATACAACGACAGTTATAATAGTCACGGAACAATGACAATCGCATCATGATTCAATAATACTTGTAACAGTCAAGATACAATGGTTGCCATAAGTGTCATGAGTCAATAATACTCGTAACAGTCAAGATACAACGACAGTTATAATAGTCACGGAACAATGACAATCGCATCATGATTCAATAATACTTGTAACAGTCAAGATACAATGGCTGTCATAAGTGTCATGAGTCAATAATACTCGTAACAGTCAAGATACAATAACAGTCGCAACATTCAATATACAACGATAGTTATAATAGTCATGAGTCAATAATACTTACAACAGTGAAGATACAATAACAGTCGCAACAGTCAATATACAACGATAGTTATAATAGTCATGAGTCAATAATACTCGCAACAGTCAAGATACAATAACAGTCGCAACAGTCAATATACAACGATAGTTATAATAGTCATGAGTCAATAATACTCGTAACAGTCAAGATACAATAACATTCGCAACAGTCAATATACAACGATAGTTATAATAAACACGAGTCAATAATACTTATAACAGTCAAGATACAATAGCAGTCATAATAGTCACGAGTCAATAATACTTGTAACAGTCAATATACAATTAATTATTAAATAATACAATAGCAGGCAGTCATGATGCAAAAACAATATTAACAGTCAAGATAAAATGACAGTCATAATAGTCATGATTCAACAATACTTGATACAAAAACATGATACAAAAACAATCGTGACAGTCAAGCTACGATGTAAGTTAACAATTAAGATACAATGACTAATACAATAGCAGACAGTCATGATACACAAGCAATCGTAACAGCCATGTAATAATAACTGCCTTCGGGGTAGTTTTCTTGGAAGCCAAGACTGTACACTTTGAGACGAACAGCGGTGTTCTTGAGCCGTTGATCCGATTTCCATCACTTATTTTGCTTCATAATGCAGTATCATAAACAGTATCACGTATGTCAATATACATCACCTGCACCTCGTGTAGCTTATCAATCATCTGTGGTTTAACAGTATAAGCCACCACGGAGTGAATCTGTTATATCAATAAACCACTGAAAACACACACCAAAAAACCCACTTTCAATTCCTATAACTACTCACTCCCAGTATTCCGTCACGGGGTCTACAAAAGACCGAGTGATGTTAAGGTCAGTCAGGTTGGTGATGATGCTGTCGGGGTTGGTTGAGTTGGTGCCGTTGCCGGTCATAGCTGCTGTCACGAAGTTCTCGGAGCAGTTCTCGGTGTTCCAGTCGTGGTTGCAGGTTGCCCATGGCAACGTGGTGGTGAATGACGAGAACATGTAGTAGAAGGCCCAGCACAGAATCACGTTGTAGTAGCAGTTGAGGAGGAAGACGATGATGACGGTGGCCATACCGATACCTGTCCACATAAACACACATAAAATGTACCAGATACCATCGTGTTGCATTACAGGTGTCTAAAATCTAACCCGCGAAGATCCGAGTTAGAATTGATCTTCAGTAACCCATGCTTGTCGTAAGAGGCGACTAACGGGATCGGGTGGTCAGGCTCGCTGACTTGGTTGACACATGTCATCCTATCCCAAATGCGTACATCGATGCTTATGCTGTTGATCACTGGATTGTCTGCTCCAGACTTGATTATTTACAGACCGCCGCCATACAGCTGGAATATTGCTGAGTGCGGCGTAAAACAACAAAACCAGCCAATCTAGTATCTTCATTACATTATGGTAAATACCCCGGAACCATCATTCTTATGTTTCAGGGATATGGTGAACCAACAACTTACCCCTTGGCCCATTGCCGTGGTTCTTTGAAAGAGAATTACCCGCCCTAGAAATTCTTTCACGTCTCAAAACAAGGCAAACCAAGCGAAGCATATCGAGAGGGAGACCAAAGCCACGAAATGGGTCCAGAAATGATTAATTTCTAAACTGGACCCAATTTGAATACATGACACCTTTTATAGATAACAACTTCTGATGAAGGAGCAAGAATTAGCTCTGAAACGTCGTGTAAAGAATAGAAAAAGAACTTGTTATCCATAAAACGTGTCATGTATTCATGTTCATCTAACATCTAAATGCCTTTTAAAAACTGGACCCAATTTATAAATACATCTTTTGTGATGTTTTATGGGTTTCACCTCATTTGGGTTGGTAGGGTAATGAGTGAGTGAGTGAGTTGGGTTTTACGCCACTTTTAGCAATACTCCAGCAATATCACGGCGAGGGACACCAGAAATGGGCTTCACATATTGTACCCATGTTGGGAATCGAACCTGGGTCTTCGGCGTGACGAGCGAACGCTTTAACCACTAGGCTACCCTACCGCCCCGGTAGGTATTGAACAAGCAGATAAGTCAGGATTGCTGAAGAATAAGGTTGATCAGTCTGAATTCAGGCCATGCCAAAAGGATTTCGAAGATGTGATTGTGAAGTCTGTCTCCATAAAATGGCAACAGTTATGGGGGGTTGTTCTCGTGGATTACTAATGGACAAACTCTGGTCCTTTAGATACATTACAGATGCCGTCGTAAGAGACGTGATGAATCTGTATTTATCAGACTTAGTCACGGACACTGCGCACTAAATGTACACACAACTCTTGTTGATAAGGGCGTACAATTTCTATGTGAAACTTTATTATCACAAAGCACCTAGAAAAGTTTAACAATGTATATTGAAACGTCTTTGTTATCTGATCATAAGACAACATCTTAGGCGCTGTGCTCGAAAAGTGAAACATTTCCCCTGCTTGGGAAATGTTTCGGGGTCTACATGGTCGATTCAAAGCACAACAATGGAGTACGTGACTGCCGCAGGAACTCTTGACAATCTAATAATAAAGTCGTCTAGTGGAAATAAACATTAAGCCAAATATATGCGATGGTTTTGAGTCATTTCAACGTTTCCATTCTTTGTTAGAATTTCTGCTGAGTCATTGAACGAGCATTATATTTTTATTAAAAGGATTGCGGTTGCCTGAAGTTTAACACAACACTTGGCAAGTCGCCAGCGACATGACAGCGTCCTTAACATAAGCCAGAATAGATTCAAGCCAGTGACTTTGACAGCCTGAGCATCGTCCGACGTCGACGCTACACATTCGTCCATGTCACCGGTGCTGACCATCCAGTTCATTCAATCATCAAACAGATCGCGTGGACTCCACTCTTACCCGGATCCTACACGTTATGTACAAAGAAATGATAGAGTAGATGCAAAGTTAATATATGTATACTGCCTCGTAGTTTATTTATCATAAAAATATTCATTGTAAACCTGAGTAAAGTACATTCAAATGTAATGAAGTTTGTTTCCAACCTATTCCTGATAAATGTTTCATGTTTCGAAAAATAAAGGAGAGATCTGGGCAGCAATGGTACAGTAAACTTTATTTCAGTTTCATCATGACGGAAAGGAAAGCCTAAAGCCAACCTTTTTACCATTTTGGTGAAACCTACGATGACGTGTATGTAAACAAGGGATATTGATCAGGGTGCCGGTGTACAAAGCGATCTTTGCGCAAAGGTGACCGTAACAAAGACTTAAGGTAGTGTTAGCGTTAAGGTTGTTTTGTACAACGACACCCAGGTTTGTGGGAATCGAACCATCGTTCAGGGGATTCTGGAAGGGCGGCAGGTGAGGTGAGGTGAGGTGAAATTGGGTTTAACGTCGTGCTTGAGAATATTTCGCTCATATGACGACGTGCATGCCTGTGTATTGGTATGTGCGGCTGCTTGTACTAGCCCAGACTTCAGCTGGTTTTATAGTGCTAGCTCACTGAGATACCATGCCGCAGTGAAGCATGAATGCCCCACTCAGACACATTATACTGACTCCGAGCCGACCAGTCCTTGTTGTACCCATTAATGCCGAGCGCCAGGCAGGGACAACAAGTATCATATTTTAACGTCTTTTGGTATGACGCTGTCGGGGATCGGACCCGCGACCTTCCGCTCTCCGGGCGGACGCTCTAACCACAACACCACGGAGGCGGTCTGGAGGGGCGGCAGGACGACGGAAAGCTGTCAACACTCCAAGGTGCAGATATACAGTTCACACGATCCCTTGGCGGACACATATCATGTTGTAATTATAAAACTTGCGACATTTGTCTAATAGTATCATTTGAAACCAAATTTTGAGTTTGTATTCTAATACAGGCACTCTGTGCACAAGTGAATGTTTGATAATATTTCTGTACATATCAAATGTCAATCATAAATGACATTGTCCTGTATGTAAATGCTAACATGTTTTATGTTTGATTCAATTCACATATCCATAATCTTCGGATTCATTTCTGGAGGAAATAAAGAATCTCTTTCTCATACAGAGGCCTACGGTGCCTTACACAACTGAACCAACTGATAACCGTTAACGTGTGCCGATAAATGCATTATGTTATCACCCCTTACCTTGCAGCAGAGGTACAACGTTCCATGCCTTCAGACCTCCGACGCCCATGAACTGACCAAGGGCGACCTCCAGGTAGAAGAGCGGGATACCCCCGAAGATGACACATAGGAAATACGGAATGAGGAAGGCACCTGCAACAGAATCATACAATATTACGAAAAATTATTTTGTAGATGAAATGCAGTTTGCGTTGATAGATTTTGTAGGAAGGTATGTTTGGGCAATTGCGAAGGAAAAACTCCAGATCCACAGTGTGGAGGGACGGTGGGGTAGCCTAGTGGTTAAAGCGTTCGCTTGTCACGCCGAAAAAACCCGGGCTCGATTCTCCACATGGGCACAATATGTGAAGCCCATTTTTGGTGTCCACCGCCATGATATTACTGACAGCGGCGTAAAACTAAATTCACTCACTCACTCACTCACTCACTCACTCGCTCGCTCGCTCACTCACTCACTCACTCACTCACTCACTCACTCACTCACTCACCCACCCACCCAAAACCCACTCACTCACTCACTCACTCACTGTGGAACGTTACCTAAGCAAGTTAAAACAAAAGTCCTAGCTAACAGGAATAACTACAAGAGAATGATTTCAAGGGCCCAAGGGCTCGGATGCTCCGGTCCCAACTTCCAGCGTTTAAAACTTCATATAATCGCCAAATTTAATAGCCGTCCCCAGACCCTCTATTGAAGAAAAGGGTACTCGTCTCTGTTTCTTATGCTAATCTTCCGTCACGTTCCACCTGTGATGGTTGACACAATGTCATGCAATACCTCAACGTTAGTATATAGACCTAGATCTGAAGTTTCCCTAGTGGCTTATAAACTTTAGTGGTGTCGGGTTAGTAGTGGATGTCCGGAGCGAGTAGTTGAGAAGATTTGGTGACGGCTCATGAAAGAGAAGTTAAGATGTAGATATATTTGAGGACATGTTGTGCGTTTCACGGATGCATCTTCATTGGGCAGCTACTGTATCCGTTCGTGTTCCTGGTATCAGATGGAACGTGTATGTCATTACTGTTGAGTAGTTGTGGCTGCTGGAGCTCTAAAGATGTAGTTAGGCTTTGTGTGATGGTCGGCAGTCGCATTGGAGCCGGGAGGATGGCGTAGTGACGTCAGGTTGGGCATAGAGGTAGACGTTTAGGTGGACGCCAGGGTGAGCGTCAGGTTGGACGCCGGGGCTGTATGTTAATGACATGTCAGGATTGATGTAGGGTCGGATGCTTAAGGTAAAGACCAGGTTGGGCGTACGAGTGATGAATGTTAATGCTGATGTCATGATGGACGTATGGTGAAGAGCTAACTGGACGCAGGGGTGAATGTTAAGATACAGGTCAGGATTGATGTAGGGTCGGATGCTTAAGTTAAAGACCAGGTTGGGCGTACGAGTGATGAATGTTAATGCTGATGTCATGATGGACGTATGGTGAAGAGCTAGTTGGGCGCAGGGGTGAATGTTAAGATACAGGTCAGGGTGGGGGGTCAGGTTGTAAGTGTGGTGTAGAGTGAGGTCCAGGTTGGACATAGGGACGAGCGTCAATGTACATGGCAAGGTGTGGGTGATAGAACGTCTTCGACGATTGATTGGCTGACTGTTGTTCGGTAATATTCCAGTTATATCGCATCGCTTCTTTGAGTGGCATTTTAGTTGGGAAGTACAATATAGAACAAACTTTATGGATAACAACTTCTTTTTATTGGTGAGTGCGACGTATACCGCATCGGTTTGTAAATAATCGCGTCTGGACCAGAAAATCCAGTGATCAGCAGAATGGACATCGATCTACGCAACTGGTATACGATGACATGTGTCAACCAAGTCAGCGATCCTGACCACCCGATCCGATAATCGCCTCTTACGACAAGCATTGGGATGTATGTGTTTCCGTGTGCAGGACTGACTATAGCAATATAAAGAGATTTGACTCTTGCACGTGTTTCTGTTTTAAAGGAACCAATAACTAATTTCGCTGAAATAAAGCAAATAGCGCGTAATTCTGTACCATTGTAGTTTCTTCCATCAAACTTGGTTTCTTTGATTGCTAATACGAAGTGCAGGGTAACAGTTGCAAGGATTTAGGATGTTCTAGGATTTAGTGTTTCAGGATGTTTTACATTCCTACAATCAACATTACTACAGGTACACAATCCTTAGAGCGAAACATCCGTGTTGACATTCTTAGGACACTTGTGCAGTTCTATGTACGAACCCTAAACCTTGCAGAGTACAGTACGTGCAAGCTTGGCACGCATGTGTGCAACAGTTACCACTTTGATATTTAAGGTGGCCGTGTAGTAGCAATTCGGAAAAATGTCATCACTAAACCTGTTCATCCTTTCTTGTGGTATATCTCTTACTTACCCGTGAAGGTCCGGGTTAGAACATTGATCTGCAGTTACCCATGCTTGTCGTAAGAGGCGACTAACGGGATCGGGTGGTCAGGCTCGCTGACTTGGTTGACACATGTCATCGGTTCCCAATAGCCCAGATCGATGCTCATGCTGTTGATCACTGGATTGTCTGTTCCAGACTTGATTATTTACAGACCGCCGCCTTATAGCTGGAATATTGCTGAGTGCGGCGTAAAACTAAACTCATTCACTTACTTGGACTAGGTGGCCCTTATTGTGGTATGTCTAGTACAACTTGGGATACGCAGCTATTATTGTGACATGTCTCTTAGAACTTGGACTAGGCAGCCCTTATTTTGGAAAGTGTCATAAAACATGGAGTTGGTAGCCCCTGTTTCGGCATGTAAAACCTTGTAAAACCTAGCCTACGCAGTCACTGTTTTGGTATGTAACATTTTGTAAAACCTAGCCTACACAATCCCTGTTTCGGAATGTAAAACCTTGTAAAACTTAGTCTACGCGGACGTTGTTGTGGTATGTCCAACAACACTTGGTCTACACGGTCTTATTGTAGCACGTTTCAGGGAAATGACACCTAAGACTGACACAGCCCTGGCGTCATACATCTCCGAATAATTCGAGAATACATCGCCCCTCCCCCAACGCCCATCTCCACCCAACACAAACAGTCACAAGTAATTCCCTACTGTGACGATTCAAAACTGCAGCTGCGTTGTCACCTGCAAGACAACCTCTAAGAGCGCCGTCACCCTTTAGACAACATTACACATCTTTGAGCAACTCCCGCCGGATCGGCGTAACAAGGCGGAAGGCCCGCATTAACTGCACCACTGTGGCGAGGCTCACAAGTGTGGCCCTGACAAACCAAGGCAATCAATAAAGTAAACTTGAGATTCGAACCAGCAACCGTTGCTTCCTGCCTAACCTACTGGACTCATGTTGTAGCGTTTGGCCAGCTGTAGCGGAGGTACTTAAGGTATTTAATTCGTAGAAACCACAACTGTATTGTTAACTAAAACCTAGGTCGTAACTGCAACCACCCAACGTGTTATGTTTCTAATAAAGACCCGCCATGCACTAACTGCACATTGCGGCTACCGTAAGTCTCACGTATGGGATCTCACTTTCTGACAAACAAACTAGGCGGATCACAAAGACAGCCACGGTATAAAACCCCCAACAAATCCAGTCTCGGATTGCGTGCTTTGCATAGATAAATCTTATATCACCCGATATATATATTGTGCATGGGACTCTGTGTCTGGGCGAATATACAAAAGCATCCATACACACAAGAGAATGTGATCATTCATCTTGTATTCACAACAAACATTGTACACAAGAGTCGTCACGTCATAGACAGCTTACGTGACGTTGGTTGAAATACAAACTCCCAACCCCGACATTCCCAATCCACTCAGCCCTGTATGCAAAACGTAATGAAGCGAGTCAAGGTTATACAAGGTATACACTCTCGCTTGGCACCTTTTACATTCAAACAGAAATATTGTTTCTATCAAAATTATTTATTTTCATACACTAAGCGTTAGTCTAATGAATTGTGAAACAGACATTGAGTCGAGACAAAACAAGACTGACTGTAAGTCTCTGAATGTATATAATATTGATGTCAACAAATAGACCTATTCAAATTGAAAAAGAGCCCCAGCGAGATGGGCGATTGAACCTCTGGAGTGTAGACTTGCTTCAGTTAGGCAGGGATAATCTACAACGTTATATAGTCTCCCTGATGTAGGGCTTTAGCTTTGCAGGGCGGGCTAGGCAGTAGGGAAAATAATGTGGTTCAGGGGCTGTGAGACAGACTACATTGCAGGGAGGGCTGGGCAGTAGGGAAAATAGTGTGGTTCAGGGGCTGTGAGACAGACTACATTGCAGGGAAGGCTGGGCATTAAGGCAAATAATACGGTTCAGGGACTGTGAGACAGACTACATTGCAGGGAGGGCTGGGCAGTAGGGAAAATAATACGGTTCAGGGACTGTGAGACAGACTACATTGCGGGGAAGGCTGGGCAGTAGGGAAAATAATGTGGTTCAGGGACTGTGAGACAGACTACATTGCAGGGAGGGCTGGGCAGTAGGGAAAATAATACGGTTCAGGGACTGTGAGACAGACTACATTGCAGGGAGGGCTGGGCAGTAGGGAAAATAATACGGTTCAGGGACTGTGAGACAGACTACATTGCAGGGAGGGCTGGGCAGTAGGGAAAATAATACGGTTCAGGGACTGTGAGACAGACTACATTGCAGGGAGGGCTGGGCATTAGGGAAAATAATGTGGTTCAGGGACTGTGAGACAGACTACATTGCAGGGAGGGCTGGGCATTAGGGGAAAATAATGTGGTTCAGGGACTGTGAGACAGACTACATTGCAGGGAGGGCTGGGCATTAGAGAAAATAATGTGGTTCAGGGACTGTGAGACAGACTACATTGCAGGGAGGGCTGGGCATTAGAGAAAATAATGTGGTTCAGGGACTGTGAGACAGACTACATTGCAGGGAGGGCTGGGCATTAGAGAAAATAATGTGGTTCAGGGACTGCGAGACCGACTAGACAAAAGGTTGCAACATGGCGGAGAGAGCATGATGTGACTCATCGCCGTTTCACGGTAGGACAAACATACCACACCGGAGCTGACACAGGGTGTCGACATTCATAAGTCAGTCAGCATCCTGGACGTCTTGTCCGGCTCGACGCGGCTAACATGTCTACAGTGGCTACACTGCCTGTTGAGAG